AAACAGTAAGAACAAGCAAACAGAGTTATAAATACAGAAAATACATGAGTCAAGAGCAGAGGCAGGCGGAGTTTCAAATACATTCAATATAGAGAATAAACTAATGGGTTTAGCAGCTTTCTTATTTTTTGAATCATAGATGGTTTTGATGTACTGTTCCGTTTCCTTATCAAAAGCAATAAAAGAAGGTTTAGAGTTACTAAATACTAAAGAGCCACCACTTGTTGCTAGGAAATGGTGAAAAACATTGATCATGTGACCAAATATTTAGGAGGAAGGCATCACTTCATGGAGTCTGTGAAGGTAAGAACCACATGGGTAAAGTGGTTTGATATTTATTTCTAAAAAAATCATTTTTCACTCTTGAAAGTGAATTTAGTCTATCATAACTTTCATGAGAATTGTGTTTCGACCAAAATAGATCATGTTAAATTTGTTTCAAACATCAATTGTGGTATCTATGAGCTACAACATGAGGTCATAAACTAAGCATAAAAGTGCACCATTTTAGCTGTGTGGACTAATAAAGTCAAAATGGTAGCTCTGGGGTAAGTTGAGCCATTTGGCCAGGGGTAAATTGAGCCGGTGGCTACAGCCAAAATACACTCAATAAGTGTATCCAAAAACATATTCTGTGTATATTCCAAAAACACAGCTGTTAATGTTTTCTTCCTAAGTGCACTTTAAGGCATTCTCATGTTAAAATGTTTTTTAAGTAATATGCAATAATAATAAAAAAAGTTATTGTACCTGTTACAATTAAATAAAATACACATGAATGTGAAGAAGTGAGTGTTATTTAAGGAGATATTGCTTAGTAGGATAATACCTATGTATGATTTTGAAAGAGACTTCTCTTACTTTATTCGTAAGGAGGTATTTGTAAGGAAGGTTCCATATATTTCCCCAATTCAGGTTGTCAACAAAATTAGACCAATAGGGAACAACATTAGGGGTACTGGTGACATCTCTCTGGAATAAAGAGCGAATGTTACAATTATTATTCCTCGTTGTGGTAGCAAAACATATATTACCAACTGAGGTCAACTTAGGGTCCGAAGCTGGTAAACAGTCCGGTTTTCCAGTCCCTTTTAAGAGCGTTAAAATACCAGATGGGATGGCATAGTTGGCTACGTTTTGGAGAGGAGAGTAAAAAGATAAGTTTTCCTTTATGTCTTTTTTAAACACTTTGCCGTAATCTTTTATATTATATAATATTAAATAATATAATAATATTTAATATTATAATAATATTAAATCATATTATTATTAGAATATTATTATAGAAGAACATTCTTCTATAATATCATATTATAATAATTCTTCTATTATAGAGGAATATTCTTATTATATATATTATATATTCTTAGAATATTATAAAAGAATATTATAATAATTCTTCTATTATAGAAGAATATTCTTCTATTATATAATACTATTATAATATTATATTATATAAAACATTACGGCAAAGTGTTTAAAAAAGACATAAAGGCATAAACACATCTTTTTACTCTCCTCTCCAAAACATAGCCAACGTTCTTCTTCTTCTTTGTGTCTTTCGGGTCTGGTCCCAGAGACTGGTCCATTCCTCAGGTTGGGTAAATAAATCCAAATCTGCAAATGAACAAGTAACTAAAGCTGTCAATAAATGCAGTGCAGTAAATATTATATTTGCCTCCATCAGAAGCTTCATAGCATAATTGCCTAAGTCATATTTCAATGTTTTTGGAAAACAAGAAAAAACACAATTTTTAGAAAACATATTGATATTTTCTATTGATATTGTAACAGTACATTCAACCAGATGTGTGAACAAGTATGCAAAAAGAAAAAGACCCATCATCAATTACAAACAAATAAAAGTGACTTAGGCAGAATATGCCATGACATAGGCATTTTTTCTCTTACATATAAACGCAAACATCACATAACCAAACTGCTTTTATTCTCCTAAATATAACCAATATGTGTAACTTGTCAACCTTAACCAAGTTGTTTCTTAATGTCTAACCTTAACCACTGTTTTCCTTTCCCACCCTTAATGGAAGTTCCACTCAGGTGCTGTTCAACTCATTTTCACACTGTCTATTGATGAGGGAGGTTGTCATAGTACTGGTGGGCCACTCTTGGTAGTAATGGTTTCATTGCCTGCAAGTCATTGAATTTCCTGAGAGTAATTGGCAATTGGGCAGGAAAGAGTGGGACCCAGTGGAATGGTTCTTTGGGGATGCTGCTTCGCAGAGGCAGGTCCTCCCAGTCAGACTCAAAATCCAACTTGTACCGGATTCGACCATCAGCCAAGTACTGGAGAGCCCAGAGGTCATGGACTGTGGGGTCACCAACTTTTTTACCTGGTCGAATCTTGGTGACATAGGCCCCAGATAACTTCATGAAGTCATTGTGGTATAGCTGAGTCACCTTGTATGGGGATGGATGGATTTGTGCAGTCTCAAAGATGACAATGTAATCATGTGGAGTGTGAATATCTTTCTATATCTATATGCGCCATTCAATGAGGCTATGCATGGAGTCACACTCCATTTGTGTGTGCCCTGCAACCAGAAACTTTTGTTCAATGGTGACACCATGCTTCATGGCCAGATGAAGGTAGGTGTTGCTGATGGTACCACACCGATTTTGATATCCACAGCCATCACTCCAGACAATGACTTTCTCGATGTTTCTGTTGGCCTCTAGGATTGATTCAAAGTGTTTTGACTGCAGATGGGCAAAACCCTCACTGCTGAGGGAGCCTTCATGCTCCTCCCAAGCGTAACAATACCCATCTTTGTTACTCAGGTTGAAGCAAGTAAAGTTGTGCATCTGTAATTTAGTTTTATAATACATTGTACTTGCTTTTGTCTGGGGGCACAGAAGAACGCATTGAAGGTCCATTGTCCACACTGAAAGTTTGTCACTGGATTCCTTTTTATCCTTAGCTTTTTCAGCTTGAGCCTGAGCCTTTAATTTCAAGTGAGTAGTAAGGGTATCCTGATCTGTATTTCCTACCTTGGCGCTGACACATACATCACACTGGTCCTTTTTTGGTATGAACACAGAGTATTTCTGCTTACTGAACACTTTTTGAAAATATATCTCACTCACAGCACGCGTTCCATTTTCACCAGCAGCTTTCTGATATTCCTTGTGAAGATCACTTAGAACTGTTCCCGGCTCCAGGAACTTCTTATCCTGATAGGAGGGAACCTGACGGCAGTAATGGGATGGGACAGTAGGCAGTCCAGAGAGCCATTCTTTCAGGAAGGTCTGGTCAACATCTGATATGGGCACATGTGGCCCAGTCTTGTTGATCTTGGGTTGACCTGGATCAGTTTTGGTTTTCATGTCCACAGTTAACCATGATTCGATGGTTCTGGGGTCGATGCCAAGTGTTGAACAGTAAAGATTCTTACACACAGGTAGTTTACATCTATCTGCCAGTTGCAGGTGGTATGATAGGGACGTTGTTCTCCTTGATGCAACACCACCTTTCTTCTGTTTTATAGGCACATTTTCGACTAAAGTCTGGATATACAGCTTGTGTGTCTCCCAGGAGGGCATGGACCAGAAATTGTTGAAGATATCTGTTCTCTCCTCTTCAGTCAGTAGTTCACAACTTCGTTTCTTCGACCTTAAGCAGTGCTGTGCTGTGCAGGGTGGGCCCATGGTCTTTGGTGGTCTCTCCTGTCCCATTTTATTCTTGTAACTCTCCCCCTTAAGATGCTTCTCTTTTATCACCTCTCGCTTCCACATATGTGGTGTAGGGCGCCTATGAACAGCAGAAGTTTCAAGTGCAGCTCCTGTTTCTCCTTCACTGTGTTGAGCTGTGTCTGTATCACTACCATTATCTGGGCAGTCATCTTCCTCAGGTCTATAGTCCTTATCCAAGACAGTGTCATCTGGTTCACTTGCTGATGATGAATCAGGATCTGATTCAGCTCTGGAGGCTTTACTGGCTGTTTCCTCTTCAATCCGTTGCCCCATGTCTACGTCATTTCCTTCTTTCTCAGGTCTACTCTCATCTAAATCCTCTAAATTAATGGGTTCATTTCCTGACAGTAAAGCAAAAAACAAAAATTAAGTGCTGTTGAGTATTTTAACACAGTAAACCATGTTAAATTCATAGGTTCACTGCAAAAAATCTAAAACTGACCAAATACTTCTTATGCCTAGTCAAAATGTCTCATTTCTAAAACAAATCTATTTGCACTTAAAATAAAAAGCGCAAATGCTTGAAAAATGACTTCACTCGAATATTTGCTTAAAAATGTCTAAAATTGCCTAAATGTCTTTTTATGGTGATGTTTCTTAAGTGTAAAGATTTGTTCTGACCAGAAATTAGGTAATATTTTGCTAGTGTTAGCTAGCTACTTCATCATACCTTGTAGCAAAAAATGTGGTTTAAAGTTTAAATACACAGTTCATAATCCCTTTGATTGACCCAAATTACATTTAGTGTCTAGAAAATTGAAGAAATATGAACTCTTACCAGATGAAAACGTATCAAAGAGAAGAGCTAATGCTTCACTTGTGGACAGCCGAGCCCTCTTTCTCGTGCTTTCTGCCATTTTTGTTGTATCATCAAAACTGCCTAAGTCAAAGAGATGACTAACGCAGATAGTGTTTTTGGATTCTAATAAGTGTTGTGATTGGCAAAGGACATGGGCAGAAAGGCAGGATGATGCAGCAGTGGTAGGAGAGTAAAGTTAGGCAGATATCACAATTTGGCCAAAAAATGACTTAGGCAATTATGCTATGAGGCTAACAGAATACACTGTTGAATTTGCTGCTTTGTGTTTGTACAGCAGAGGGAGTCAGATGCATAAACACCATTTTGTGCACTGTTTTGTATGTTTGTTCTTTTGTTATTTACTACAATCATTTGAGAGCCACTTCATTGCTGCTAAGGTTACAGTGATTTAATGACCAATGGCACATGGGTCAAAACATATGAACACACCACACATTTATATATCTTGGACACACAAAAGACAGTGTTGGGGTCACCACATTAGGCTTTATTTGGACTTCATGTTTACAGATTTGTTTCTTTTATGTTTGTGTAATTAACTACAGCATGTGTGTGTGTGTGTGTGTGTGTGTGTGTGTGTGTGTGTGTGTGTGTGTGTGTGTGTGTGTGTGTGTGTGTGTGTGTGTGTGTGAGTGTGTGTGAGTGAGTGAGTGTGTGTGACTCTTGTGTGGCTGAGTGTGGGGTGTAATATCTTGTCCCTGGAGAAGATATTTTTATGTTTTAATCCCCTGAACAAACTACAGTAATTACAGCATAACATGATGTAAAAAAAAGTTTTTTTTAGAATCAGTCAGATGGCTTTGTCCTTTATTTCTAGTTTAGCACCTTTAATGTAAATACTGACTTTGTGACTGAGAGAGAGAGAGAGAGAGAGAGAGAGAGAGAGAGGGAGGGAGAGAGAGAGAGAACTTTTCTGCACATCAGTACAAAATAAAACAAAAAATAAAGCCTACAATTTGTTTCATACACATTCAATAAACATACACCTCTCCTCTGGGATATTTATGAGTGTCTTTGGTTGGAAGTTCTGACCATAGATTCAGAATGAATAGAACAACCAAGTTACATATAATACTGCATGCTTAAGTGTGTGTGTGTGTGTGTGTGTGTGTGTGTCTCAGCTGGTCCTACGTGGATTGTTCTGGCTTCTGTAAATTAATCTTCACCCATATAAACTGGATATGTAGCGTCTCAGTGCCTTATGTCCAGTAATGATAATGTTGGCAGAGGTTCGTTGGTGCCTCTGTATGTGTGTTTACGTGTACGCTGAAGGAGCTGGCCCTTCTTTCATTCTGTGGTTTCTAATTCTATGGTGTAGAGCGTTACAGTTCCTCACTAGCAAATCCAGCGGACAAAGCGCTCAAAGAATGAGGGTTTGTTCAGCATGGTGTAATCATCTCCTCTAAAGATGGCCGACATGTCCCCTAGCGACACCTTCTGCAGCACCTCCTCATCTGTGTCTGTTCCCATGGCGATCACCGTGGGAACACCTTCTGCTCGCCTCATGGAAGTCACACCCTCATCCAGCTGCTCGGTGGCTGTGATGCCATCAGTGATGAACACAAAGGCCAGCTCGGCGTGGCGACGACCGGCACGTTTTCCCTTGTAAAAACACAACATGCAGTGTTAATATAATGACATTATTTTGTGTGTTAAGTCTAATCTAAGTGTTAGATGAGAGGATTGATACCACGCTCACATCTGTGTGTTGATTTGGAGCTTGACCAAGATGGTAATCAGCTTAGCTTTGCATAAAGGCCGTAAGTTAGACAATACTGCTAGTAAACCACACATTGCTGCTGTTACTTCTGTTTGTCTACAGATGAGATATAATGTGTTAATTGTCATTAGGTGTATTTTTGAGAACCAGGCTTGCTGTTTTCCCCTGCTTCCAAGCTTTATGCTACAACGAGCTAATGGCTCCACCTCTGTAAATAAAGAAATAGTTTGACATTCTAGGAATAACGAGAGTTAGATAAGAAGATTGACACCACTCTCATATCTGTACGAGAAATATGAAGCTTCAGCCTGCAGGCATTTCAATTAGTGCAGCATGAAGACTGCAAATGGGGAAAACAATAACTTTTACACACATATTAAACAAACAAGATTCTAGTCCAGTCTTTAGTCTTTATGCAGAAAAAGCAATGCTAATCGCCTGCTGGCTGTAGTTTCACATTCACATGAGATAAGAGTGGTATTGGCATTCTCATCTTGCTCAAGAAAGCAAATTTTCTAAAAATTTTCTAAAATGTTCTTCACAGGTCACCTGCCTACAAATCCAACACGTGTTTGTGTTTGTTTGTACCTGTGCGATCAACACATTGTTGACAGCATGGATGATAGCGCTGCCCAGAGCAGAGGAGGAGTCCATGTAGGTCACTCCTGCCAGTGAATCAGAGATCACTGTGAGATTATGTGTAAGCGGGAACTCCACTCTCTGTTCTGTAGGGCTGCCATACTGCAGCAGAGCCACACGGGCATTCCTCTCATCTGTCTCGCCGTTGGCCAGGGTGAGACGGCGGGCCACATTCTCGATGAACTCTTTGGCCCTGCGGTGGTTCTCCAGTCCCATCCTCTCAGAACCATCCAATAGGAACACCACATCCACTGGCCGCTGAACGCAGCTAGCCACTGCAGGCTCTGGAACAGACACACACACACATGAAGTTTTAAATCAAACATGTTGTTCAGCGAGCTACAGCTGGAACACAGATGCTCAGAGGTCAAAGCCAGCAAAAGATATACAGTAACATGGTATGCTTCCATACATGCTAATTGCAACGTTCTCAGATCAGTAGGGGCCTCGTCAAGAAAGCACTTTTTTTAGTTTGCTCTACAATTTTATTCTCTTGAGACGACATTATATAAAACATGAATACATTTTATACAAAACAACAAAGTTCACATCAGCAAGTTGCAGTCACAGAGCTAACATGATAACATCTGGTTAAAGCCGCTCTGTAGTCATTTTCCTCTAGTCATCCTACTTTACAAGCCAAGCCACATGCAAAAAAACATGCACCAACCAAGGGCATAACATACAATAGTTCCTTCATCGTCAGTGCCAAGTCAATAAACCAAACATCCACATACACCAACATCTGACTCATATACAGTATACTGTGGCATGTTTAAAACCAGATATTTTCCACATGTCATGGCCTTTTCACCAACTTGAGTAATTCACAGAGCACAATAAAGACCGTAACCGTGGATATGTGCAAAACAGCAAAAGAAATGTCATCAGAGTGATTCAGCGAGCTTGTGATTCACAGTGGAAATGAGGATTCATCCAAGAGCCACTGTACACTACACAAGAGCAACATGAATGGCTCTACAGACCAATCTGCCTCCAACAAACGGATGACATCAGCTTTCCATATGAATGGAAAACGTTCCTCCACTAAGGTGGATGAAATGATATGTATCGTATTTCTAACAGACATACTTTATACATTAATTGAGGAATATTCTATGAGGAGAGGGAGCATCATGAATCCACATTTTGAATTTTGGCCCATCATTTACAATAACTGTACATAAGGTTGCTCTGAAATGTTAGCACAGGACCAGCTTCATATCATGCGATTCTTTTGCATCAGCCCAGGTGTATATTGCACCCAAAAAAATGCCCACAGTTTTAATAAAATCTATTCCAGCAGTAAGCTTATTAGTTATTGGCGTCCATAATGGCGAGGTAGCATGGGAAGCATATTAGCATTAGCAGAGTCCTAAAGCTTTCTCTGGGTCTCCCATAATGTCTCCATAGACATATTTGAAGGAGTCGATGAACAGCTGGGTCCACTGCTGCCTGTCTTCTCCATGGGCGAGTTTGGCTCTCTGGGCTGTGTACGCCATGGTTGCAACGCCAACCCCGTACTGCTGCTCGCTCAGGCCATTCAGCAGGCTGGCCACACCCTCCAAAGAGGTGGGGACCAATGAGGGGCTGCCTTCCTCGGCCAGTGGCTTCCAGGGGGGAGGGGCTTGGCCCGCAGTGATGCCCCCTCCTGAAACAAGTGGGCGGAATAACATTGTGGGCGGGGTCCCACAGACACGACGCATCAATACAGCCAACAGAGATGCCGTAGATATACCGAGTTGCACTAAATTGCACTAAAGTTTGTGTTGGCTTTACAGAATCATAAATTAATTGTGTCATAGGAAAGGAGGTTAAATGATATGTGATATCCAATTTAAATGAACTGTGTAAAAAAAAGAAAAGACATTGATCTCAATTCAAGCCACAATGAGCCGAGTTCGTAAAGTGGAAACAGACAACTTTGCAGCGTTTCCAACTAGTATTATTGTTTGTACCACTGTCACACAGACAACCGATTGCTTTCCATTTTCGAGAGAGCCTAGCTCTCTGTGAAGAATTGATGAACGCCTCTTTGGAAATAAGAGAGACGAAAGAAGCATGTTCTCCTTTTCCTGGTACTCGTTCTATTATAGGGAACCAGTCTAAATGCGGATGGTGTCATTATTCTATAACCAAAAAGCTATCTATTTCCACTTTAACGTAGCTTAAAGGCGTCAGTATGCTTCAAACAAAAAAATTGGTACTCGCATCTAAAGGCCAAAGTGTTTATACCTGTCCGGAAAGGCCACACTTGTGGAGGGGAAAAAAGCCTGCCGTCACAGAAAGGTGCAGGGTGTGTTCAATCATACAAATGGGGATAATGGTGGACGCTGTCGGACAGTCTCTCCTCAAAGGCATTCATATCGCACTCGGGTGTACACATGAAAAATGAGTATAAAACGAAAAAAGGATTGTTCGGAAAGATAAAAATTGACACATCTCCGTTGGAGCATATTGACGCCTTAATAATGTTGGTTAGTCAGGCCTGAATGCTGAAAAGCATGTAAAAAAAGAGAACACTAAGTGAAACAGTGTTTTAAAATCTTACCTGATTTACAAGGGAGATCAGGGCATATGATGACAGGATCTAAAGCAAAGATAAAGACAGAATGTCAGAGAAAAAAGACCAACACAGCTTCTCATAGTCCACTAGATGAATGTAGTACATAACGTGTGTTTCTGTGATGAGTGTACCTGGGCAGAGCACAGTTTCAATCTTGTCGATGAACTCCTCAGCCACTAGGTCTGCAAAGCGCCTCATGCCCAGCACCCTGCCATCCTTCTGGCAAGCGATGCTTTTCAGACTCTCATTCTCCTCAATCTGGTCGAACATGTCTCCGATACCGATGGCACTCACATCAACACTGGGATCACTGCTCACATGCACCAGTACACACATTTACAAATGAGATAAGACAAAACCTCTTTCTTCTCTACAAATGCAAATTCTAAATCTGAAAATACAGCCCCACCTGCAGAGGTAGGTGAGCAGCGAGTCGTCATCTCTGGGGTCGAATCGTCCGTCAGTGATGACAACCACGGTGACGTTGGCTTTGGCTCTACGGCTGTCCCTGATCAGATTGTCGTAGGCATACTTCAGAGCGGATGGAGTCCATGTTCCTCCAGCAATCCACTCCAATCGCTTGACTGCATCCTGAATAGTGGAGAAGTCAGCAAGTGAGGGAAGTGTATGCACAGTGCAGTGGTACGTGAAGTAAGATCAGTACTGTGGACACACAGAAAGGCACTTCCATCATTTTTACAAAGGTCTCACTACGGCCATTTTATAGATTTTGGCTGGTTTAGTGGAAAAATATTGCATTCATGGCTGTTGACTGCGCTGAAGTAAATATAGATTTGAAATACCCTAAAAGGCTTTAAACACAAATCTATGTAAAAAGTCTTTTGTTATTCTGTACTTCTCTTATTGTCAGCAATTCCAATGAAAATACCAAAATCAACAATGTATTAAATCATCTCTCAATACTTTGTAACTTCCCTGCCTTGTTACAAGTACATGGTTTTAATTAAAAAGCATATGTGGGGGTGACTCAAAAGAAACTATGACACAGAAGAATAAGCTGCATCGTTGTTTAAAAAATATATATATATTGCCAGCCTTATTATTTAAGCTTGTCTACCATGTATTGCATCCCAGATGATATGTATTGCTGCATGTCAGAAATATAGTCAGAGGGACATGTGCACATATGTAACTGGGGTGACTCCCATCTGCCTTATGCATGCAACACATTTGATCTGACTGCACATCATTGATTAATTAAGAAACATCTGTACAACACAGACAAACAGTCTAAAAATACCCTTCAAAGCTGTATGCGTACATGTTTGTGCTTGTTTGTGAGTGTCAGACCTTGAAAGCAGACAGTGAATCAATCTTGGGGTCGTCGAGCAGGATGGCCTGGAAGGTTCCACTGTGACTGTACTGAACAACTCCCACTCTTGTTCCTGGAACACAAGCATCCAAGTTGGCAGCCATCTTGTGGGATTTTTTGACGTTGCATGGTCTAATTCCTAAGTCTTTTATAGGACCAGTGTGTGAGAGTTGGTGTCTAGTCTAGTGGTGAATTTGCAAATTGCAACCAAGTGAATATCGCCTTCGAAGCATGTAGGTGAAACTAAAGTGGCTAAGGAAAGTCGTGAAAAACACAAAAGGCACCTTCTAAAGCCAATGTTTGGTTTGTCTGTTCTGGGCTACTGTAGAAACATGGCGGTTCAACATGGCAGCCTCCTTAGAAGAGGACCCGCTTCCTCTGTAGGTAAAAATGGCTCATTCTAATCTAACAAAAACACAATATTATGTTACACACTGGACTTGTCTACCTGTTTCTGACTTAGGGTCTTTGGCAAGGGATCCAAGTCTGTTGATGGTGTTGATGACAAAATTCTTCTCCAGGGTGAAGTTAGTCAGACCCACTGACTCTGAGCTGTCGATCACAAACACAATGTCCAGGGGTCCACAGCGTTTCTCACAGTCTGCAGACAAAAACACACACTGTGAGAATCTGACAGCCTATCAGAGCGTGTTAAGATCATGAATATGCAACACAGTGGTAACTAAACCACTAAACTCACCACAGCAGCCACACGTTTCCCTGATGTAGTTCATGACATCACATTCCTGCAGGAAGAAACATTATCTCATATTATCCATCATATCCTCTGTGTTCTTGGTGTGCCAGAGATAAAAGACGGGTTAGATATTCTTACAGTGAGGCCGGGGTCCCCCTCAGGTCCAGAATCTCCCTGTAGAGGACGAGAACACATAATATCACATCATCCCTCTCAGCTTTTGTCCAGTTTGGAACTGCTAGCAAATAATGCTAATTGGTAAACAAGTAAACATGTGAAAACATCTTTGATTCCACTGGGTGTTTGCTTAATCTGCACTATGTCAGTGACAAGAAAAGCACCTTTTTGTGTGATTTAATAATTTACAGTGCATGTCTTATGTACTTACGTCACGTCCGGGATCTCCTCTTGATCCTCTTAGGCCAGGTTCTCCCTGATGTCCTGACTCACCCTGTTGCAAGCAGAAACATTAGCATTTTGTACCTGCACTGTATTTTGCTCCAGTGACAGCAAACATACAACTTTGAGGAGTTACTCACTTCCTCTCCCACAGTTCCTTTATCTCCAGGCTCACCCTTTTGACCACAGTCTCCTCTGCTACCACGAGGTCCACGATTGCCATTCTCTCCTCTGTCACCCTGTACAACAGCGGAGGGAAGTTTTGTCAAACTAGTGTGTCACTCTGGCTTACAAATGTAAGAAGACAGTGCGCATGTGTACGTTACCGATGGTCCTCTTGGCCCGGGATAGCTAAAGCCAGGTCTTCCAGGATCCCCCTGAACAGAGATGAAAGAAACAGTCAAGACAACAAACTGCAGCAAGATAACTGAAAGCAAACACACTAACACCTACACAGTGACACATACCTTTGGTCCAACCTGTCCAGGTTCTCCTCTTGGCCCAGCATCACCAGGATCTCCTCTGGTACCCTATAATACAAACAGTATCAGGGTAAGCTGCATGAGGTAATGTATCTCTGAGGCATTTTTCCATGTGACCTTTAACCTACATTTCTCCCAGGGTCTCCTGCTAACCCCGGTGGTCCCCTGGGGCCTGGCAGGCCATTGTCTCCCTGTTCAGAGGAGAGAAAGTTGACGACAGGTGCAACAAAGGGGTTTAAAAAGAAAGAGTTCAAAAGTCTGTGGTGTTAATATGGACATATGCAGATTATTAAGATAATATGGTTCTTCTCACCTTTGTTCCTTTGTTTCCTGATTCACCTGGAAGTCCTCTCGAGCCCTCTGGCCCCATTTCACCCTAAAAACATAAAATCAGTGCTGAGACCCCTAGTAGTGGAATTAGTGGTTTCTCAATGATTTTAACCAAGGCAAAAAGTTTGGAATTTTGTTTAACACGTGTGATTGTGCACATGAAGTCATACCTTATCTCCCTTAACTCCATCCGGCCCTTGAGCACCCTTTTGCCCATAGTCTCCTCTTCTCCCCTGAAACACAAGAACAATAAGAAAACCTACAAAAAGCAAATCCAGGTGAAGCATGAAGGGAAACGTTAGATTGCTGATTAATCTTACCGGCTCCCCTTTGTCTCCCGGATTTCCTGGAATTCCCTAAACAAAACAACACACCGGTGAGCTGCATGGCACATAAAATGAGTGTGTGTTTGAATGTATTTCTGTGTGTAGCGATGGGTCTTACTGGATTTCCTTTCTGTCCAGGAATACCAGGTGATCCAGGACTTCCTCTCTCTCCCTGTGGAAGAAGCACCAGAGTTAAGCCTTTCACCTTCAACGTTCCTCAAAGCATTTAACCTTTGCATTTGACCTCCGATCCAATATCTGCCCCAGAAAAAAAGCAGCTATCCGTTTTACTGTTTACCTTTGGTCCAGGCTCTCCAGGCCGACCAGAGGGACCAGATCTTCCAGGGCGACCGGGATCACCCTGAAGACAGGACACAAGCACACACACACACAGGCAAAAGTTAACCACAGGATGGATGGCTGATGGCGTTTGTCTTAAGTGAAGGCGAGACTGTATACCTTTTCTCCGCCAGTTCCAGCGAGACCACGTTCACCAACATCTCCGGGGTAACCATCAGGACCCTACAAAGCATCAAACACATATCATAAATAGGCCATAACACAACAAAATACGGATGTACTCATAATTTTAAATCATGTTGAATGTCATACTTTGTCGCCTGGGTCTCCTTTGCAGCCAGGAGCACCGATCCGTCCAATTTTACCCTAGAAAGAAGAAGAAGAATGGAAAAAAATGCATTGCAAAAGAATCTTGTGACCAAAATCACATTTGATTTTACATTGCCTTTTTATTGAAGTTGTACAGCAAAACTTGGTCCTCAATGTTCAGGCTTATGCATCACCTACCTTCTGTCCATCTGTCCCATTGCGTCCTGGGATGCCAGACACACCCTGATGACAAAGAGAAGAGACAATTAGATGAGAAAGGCAGATAATTTTATTAAATGAATGAAAATTAACAGATTTAGTTAAAAAAAAAAGTCCTACCTTTTTCCCCTGAGTACCTATCTCTCCCTGTTGGCAGACAGAAGATCAGCAGTTATTTTATGTACAATCATTATTATCATTCATCTACAAACCCAGTCATTTATTTAAAATTTGACAATTTAATTCATGAATTGATGAAGTTGATCCACAGAAAAGAAGGGATGCCTCACCTTCTCGCCTTTAAAACCTGGTTCTCCCTATAGAGAGGAAAAAGGGAAATGACAAACAATTTATAACAATATAAACACAAAAACAGTTCATATTTGTCCAACTGTAGTGAAGAGTGAACGATGGAGAGGCGGATGTTGGTGTCTTACTTTGGTACCGGGCTGACCGATGGGACCCTCGATACCGGGGTCTCCTGGGCGACCTCTTCCTCCTTTGAGACCTGGATCGCCGTTGTCTCCTTTAGCTCCCTGCAGTCAGCAAGTTATAAGGAGAAAATATTTGTGAGGATGACTAGTGTACAAATAGTGTACACTGTAAGTGTGTGTGTGTGCATGTTTGTGTGAAGCTCACTTTTTGTCCTCTGTGGCCTTTTGGACCGGGAGGCCCTGGTGTCTCCAGACAGGACACACTGTAACACTGTGTTATACAGGAAAGGAAGACAAACAGTCGGTGATGATACAGCCTGAAACATTAATCTTCATGATGTCTCTGATTGCTGTTCTGTGTTTATTCTCACCTCTACAAACGCCAAATGTTTCTGTGAAGACAAGAGAAACAAGGTGTGAGCAGAAGAGGCATTGGTCGTGTTTCCTGTTTATCTGTGTGTCTCTGTGGGTGTATTTGTGTTTTACCATCGTCTTGATGATGCGGTCAATGGTGTCTGTGTGTATGATGGCTCTGCCCTGGCTCAGATCCACAGCCATGAAGTCCCGCCTGTAGACCGTTGCTGGAGAGTTGGCAATCTCCCTCAAACCTGTCTCTTCAAGGTTCTTCGATGCCGCCACGACAAACATCCGGATGCCCTCATCACGAGCCCTCTCTGCTGCCACTTTGATGCCCCCGCATGGGTTTCCAGTCACATGGCCGTCGGTGATGACCACAGCAAATCGGAGAGCCTTGGGGTCTGAGGGTGAGCGCAGCATTTCCTGGGTCATGTTGGTGAGGGCGCAGTCAATGTAGGTGCCCTTACCCAGGTAACGGATTCCATCGACACCCTGGAAACAGAGACAAGTGTGAAAAGAGGAAAAGAAGGCAACTGCACAGGGACCGAGACCCTCACAGACCCCCGAAGGTACCAGGTTTACTGGTGGTGGTGGTGATAATCAGTTAGTGATAATTTGATTATTGATTGATATAAACTAAAATGGTATAGGGTTTACCTAATAATATTCAGCTACTGTGTCTAAATCTAGTTTTAAAGGTCCAGTGTGTGACACTCAGGAGGATCTCCTGGCAGAAATGGAATATAATCTGTATAACCTGAATATAGGAATTGTTTCGTTTTTTAAACTTAGAATGATATCTACAAACGCTGTGGGTCGCCTTCCATGGAGTCCACCATGTTGGACTGCCATGTTTCTATAGTAGCCCAGAACAGACTCTAGACGGCCACCATAGTTTCTCCTTACTACTGTGAAGGCAAGGGTGAAGTGACAGAGTTGCAATCCCCCTACACCACTAGATCCCACTAAATCCCACACACTGGACCTTTAAAGACCTTTATTTGACAATGCTGAAAGATAGGCTCATATCAGGAACCTTGATATTGCGTAGTACACATCTTAAACCCTGAGGCCAAAGGAACTGTACGTCCATCCAACTGCAGTTATCAGCAGTTTTTGCTCTGTACTACACACAACATGAAAAGCTTCTTTATTTTTCTAGGTTGTGAGGGCTCACAGCAGATTTTTGCCCCAGCACCTCAAGCAATTGTACATAGCCCTGGTTGTCATTGGTGTTAATAAAATGTGTGGTAAGTTAAAAAATATCAATGTTATCAGTAATCAGTGGAGCAGCAATGTTCACCAAGAGTGGCAAGTTTCTCTCCATCAACTCTCCATAGTTTTCTACATTTTGGGTGTGGTCACAGGTCAGAAATCTCCATCCATAGGAAGGAAGGACATAAATGTAACAAGATACTATAGTTCCAACAACTACTTCCATTTAGAGCTTTAGCCAGTATTTTACACATAATGTCTAGGATCAATATCAAAGTTATTAACTAGTTCTAATCTATCACTTGGTTATAATAAACTTTAATATAGCTACAATAAACACCCAAATGCAATCTGAACAAACTATTCAATCTTTAACTTGATTGTGTGTGATCATAAATGTGTGTGTGTGTGTGTGTGTGTGTGTGTGTGTGTGTGTGTGTGTGTGTGTGTGTGTGTGTGTGTGTGTGTGCGCCACTCACTGTCAGAAAATCACTCTTGGATCCGATACGGCTGAACACCCGCTGTTCTTGGGAGAAGTGCAGTCCACCGATGTTCCAGGTGACCCGCACAGCACCTCTCAATTCAGCATCTTCTAAACGCTGTACAAACTGCTTTGCAAATAACTACAACAACAAGAAACAACACATTATACATACATACATACATACATTTGGAAATGATGGGGGACTATTTTGTGTTGAGGTTTTTATAAAATTGCAGATAAACAAGGAACCTTGATGCTCTCCACCAGTGATCCAGGGGGTGGCTCCTGCAGAGCAATGGTCTCAGATGTGTCTATGGTGAAGTATACGTCTATGGGACATTCATTCTTCTCTGGAAGGATCACACACACAAAATACACATATAAAACCTCCATGGAAAATTGCAATGCATTAAAATCAGCAAGATGAAGTCTTCCATATTATATCCCTAAAACTGTTTTAACAGATTAACATGACATGATAGTGTGGCTGTGAAGCAACAGGGGTTCAGTTCGTGGCACTCACTGCTGCACTCTGTTAGCTGGCCGTGAGTCAGGGCTCCAAAAAGAAGACAGAGAACGATGACCTCTAACCCCAGCATCTTCCTCTTCTCCTGTCTGACACACAAAGGCACAAGACACACAACTAAGCAAACAATCTATTTCTCGCTGTATCTTTCAAAGTCAATAAAGTGAAAATAGAGGTCATGGAAAATGTAAAATACAGAAAAACACTGAAACAACGAGATGATGTGCTTATTTTAAAATAACCAGCACTGTAGACTAATATTACAGTGACTATTACTGTGTTGTAGTCTAATAATATAGAATTTTCTTATCATCCATAATGTACAATGTTTCTCAAGAAGAGTTGATGTACTGCCAAAGTAATTTGCTAAATATTTTTCTTCATCTGGTATGCACCTGGTATTAATTTAAGTGAACTGTATTAAGAACAGTCTACAGCCTGTTGCTCTGGGGACAAAATGGCTGCCATGGGGTTATGTAATAGGTTTGAAAACATGACATGAGTTGAAAATGGCTATTCTTTATCGTGTTTAATGGTGGATATGGAAACAACAGAAGCTAGCAGAAGGGACTGATTGGCCGGCATTTGCCTGCCAATGGATTATTCATGTAGAAACCTGGACACAGGCCTTAACATACAGCCATGACCAATGGAAGTTCAATCAGATCCACTCAATCTATACAGGCCTGAGTTTTCAAAGGACTCACAGTTTGACGAAATGAAATTTATGAGTCTAAGATTAAAAAATTTAACTAATTATCTAAACTATCTTATCTAAATAGAACACCACAACCTTTCAAGTCAAAGAGAAATTATACAAACATTACTCTGGGTGATGACAAAAATGAACAAAAACGATGAACAGATTCTGGTTGTATTTGGAAGGAGAGAGCAGGCTGCTGATTGAATATAGCAAGGCTCACATTTTGGTTTAAAACCACAAGATTTCACAAGGCCTCAGTCTGCCGCCCTCCAGAGGTTTTCCCTTCCCTTGCAGTCAACCTGGGTTTGGTGGCTGTCATGGGCGAATTAACCCATTTGGGGGCGCTGGCACATTGACCTTTGTTTGGTTAAATGCACATTTACATAACAATAGGCACAATGTAACAGAGCTGCCTTTCAGGTGTGCATATTCCTAAACAAATCCACAATTAATCCAATTACCACAAACCAACCAACTGACACACACTTGATATGAGGCCTTCAGGGCCCCTGAAGGTTGGGGCCCGGGACTGTGTCCACCTAAATTAATATTCCGGCCCTGCTGTCTGTGTGGATGGCGATTACCCTCACATCCAGTAAACACTCTGTCACTGGTAGCAACATGTCAACAAAGCTCACAGTCAGTCTGTCTATCCGTCACTTTACATCAAGAGCTCAACCCAGCAACCGTGCTAACTTGTGTCCACTGCAGCATACTGTTTTTAACTCTGTAAACATCGGCACCATAACAAAACAAGATTTTCCATAATTATATGTCACCGTAGCAGTCAAACAATGTGCCTTGAAATTATCCTTACTATTAAAAAATAGTTTTAAACTAATAATAAACTAATTTTAAGTGAATGTATCTGTCATCTGAAAAGCAGCTACACTAAAAAAAAAATCCAGTTACATTAAAGGAAACTATATTTTCAGACACATCATGTGAGACCTTCTTTAAAACATTTTATGCACACCATACAACAGACTGTTTGCTGTGGCTCCCTCTGGCGGACTGACAGCTGTGAGCAGCGGAGGAGTCGCTCCTGCAGATGTTCCCACTCTTTTCCCACTGTCCAGGCCAGTAGAGTGAGTGGGAGTCCTTGTAGCTTTTCATCACTGCACAGGTGAATATCACGCAAAAATATACAGAGATAACAGCACGACTGATAGAGCTCGTGCTCTCTCTGGGTTTTTTCTTGGGCACTCAAAGTTTGTTCGCGCAGTAGTTTGGTTTTGCTGAGAAAAAGCCCTTATTTCTGTAGATGAGAGTACGTTTAAAGACATGCAAACAGACAGATAGACAGAGAGAGAGAGAGAGAGAGAGAGAGAGACACACACACACACACACACACACACACACACACACACACACAGAGAGAGAGAGAAAGAGAGAGAGAGCGATAAAGGCAGATACATACAAGAAGGAAAGAGAGATTGGCGCAATGTAGTGCGTAAAAGTGCTGCTTACCCGAACTCTTTCCAACAACTTCAAAACTTTGTAAACAGCTGATCCTCTGTTGATTATCGCCTCATCTCAGCAGGAGGGAAAGCCGAGAAAGAAAAGGGGGATGCGGGAGGAAGAAAATGGGAAATAAAGCCCTGGATGCGCGTTTACTTCCAGCAGAAGAGCCGTCCGTTCGCTCTCCTGTCCCGGTCCAGCCCCAACAACGAGCTCTGATCCCTCCTCCTGTGCGCGCACGGCGCACCCCAGCAGTGGGCACTGCTGTCCGCTTGGAGGCGCCATGGCTCCGCTGCAACCTGTGTGTGTGTGTGTGTGTGTGTGTGTGCGCGCGCGCGCTTGTACCCGTGGCCTATTGTGCCAGTGTTATTGCCATGCACCAGTAAAAGACGATGCCGAAGCGCAGCTGGAGTTTAGTAGACCCCCACTCGAATACGCCTTGAACTTCACAAACAGTTCTAATGCACGTTTAGTATCAGGGGATGTGACAATTTTACAGATACGGCCCTCAGCAGAACACATGGCACAACCCTAGGGACACACTGAGCTTTCATGTCCCTGAGATAGAGCATTTAGGAGGTTTTCACAGTTAATCTCATACATGTGGTAAGTAAGAATGAAATAGAACAGGATAAAGAGCAGACTTACAATAAGCCCCCCATACTCATAAACACACACAAAAAAACACACACACACACACACACACACACACACACACACACACACAAACGGCCCCTCACTTGTGTCTGGTGGTCTGGTTGCAATTAGTAGGCCGAGTGAGAGGAGTTTATACTGGGTGTAAACACTGACTATCCACGACTCTACTCACCTTGTTTATACCCATGTAGGTGCAGCTGCCCTTTGCCTATTTGTCTGGGTTTAAGTGTTTGTGGTCATGGTGGGAGGTCTCCCTTTCAGATGATTATGTTTGTACACATCTGCACAAAATCTTGCATTTACACTCTGTAAAGCATATTTCTTTTTTATTTCATTGTGGCTGATCATGGGTTGGCTGCAGCAACACTTGTGCATGTCAGTGTCCAGTTTGCCTGAATTTTCTGATGTGGGCTGCAGAGCTGCCAGTGCATTAACACTACCACTGATGTGTTATCCAGACCAGGAGGTGATGTCAGGAACAGGCTTTTACATCCAAGGCTACATCTGTTACATGATAGGCTATCAGCTTGGTGTGGGTGATAAAGAAGTTGTTTGGGTCAGTATAGAAGGTGTCTATGTGAAATGACAAGAGACTGGAATCTCTTCCTTTAAGAAAATCACATCAAAGGAGCCTTTTGTAAAAGTCTCCCACTGAAGCAGGGAACCAGAATCTGACCTGGTCAGTCTTTAAACATTGCTGCTCTTGCACATATAGGAACGTAACATATTTATTATTAATATTATAATACACATTCTTCAATTTAAGTCCCTCCTGCTCTTTTAATTTGACTTTATCTGACTGTATAGTGGGCTATGATCAGTAGAAGTGGGTGGAGGTGAGACAGCTGTCAGCATTTTGCCATGGCGACCATGTGCAGATGAGAAAGAAAAGGAGAGGAGGAGGAGTAGGGCAGCTGCTGACCAGAGTTATTACTCTCTGAAGCTCTTCTCTCAGTCTTGGCCAGGGATGGGTTTTTCCTTAAAAAGAGAGGAAGAGAGGAGTGGAGCAGTGTCTGTGTGTGTGTGTGTGTGTGTGTGTGTGTGTGTCTGTGTGTGTGTGTGTGTGTGTGCACATGCGTTTGATGGAGAGATGTGGAGGGGGGTTCTGGTCTTTCTTAAACGTGTGACTCATAGAATAGGAATGACCTCCCTCCCGAATAAGACTAAACCAGTCTCTGCCTCTCTTTCTCTCTCTCTCTGTCTCCCTCTTTCTCTCACACACACACACACACACACACACACACACACACACACACACACACACACACACACACACACACACACACACACACTGTCTCACTGTTTAATTTTTTTTTATTTCTTCCACATGGACCAAAAGAGTGTTTCAGTCCGGGGGGATTTCTGCATAATCAGTTCCAGAATCATAAACAGCTCCACTTTCCCAACATTGCTGCAACTTTTCTTTCACTATTCCACAGAAAACCCACAAAAATCGACTTAATCAACTTCAGATGCAAACATGCACAAAGACAAGGCCACAAGAGAAACAAACAAAAGCACATGCATATAAATGCAAACGCACAGATCCACACAGTCAAAGAGCAGATGTACATGTTCATGCTATCTGCAGCATGCACAGATACACCAAATGACTACTCTGAAGGTTATTTACAGGAAAGTCGTAATCTCTCTCTCTCTCTCTCTCTCTCTCTCTCTCTCTCCTCTCTCGTGTGTGTGTGTGTGTGTGTGTGTGTGTGTGTGTGTGTGTATGGGAGTGACACAGTTCTTCCAGATGTTTTCCAGTGCAGCTCCTGAATCTGAAATTCTATATTTAAGAACAAATGAACAGGATATTACATTAAACTTATGATAAGCTGACATTTACTCCCCTTTTCCTTCTTTTTGGAATCTTTTCTCCTCCTTCTCTCCAGATGTGCTTTCTGTACAGACCATGCAGCTGTGAGTCGTTACCTCAGTGTATCATGAACGCGCACAAGGTTGCGCGCACCTCATGCACACATACGATTTGGTCCATGTGCAAAACCTATGTCACTACCAGTGAATTTCGGTGGAAAAAGGTTGTGCTGAGGGCAAGATGGTAGTGAGAGGTCTAATCGCTATGGTCTCAGAAAACAGGAGGGAGGAGGAAATTGGGTTTCAGAAAAACTACAGAGGAGCCAAGACAAATTTCTGAGGAACAGTCCCCCCCCCAAAACATACACACAAATCACAAATCACACAGATATACATGCACACATGCTGCAAATCATACACAGAAATAACATCTCTGCACCATGCAAGTGGGCACACCCATGCACATGCACACAAATAAAAACACATGCAGACAGGGACTCTGTGCAATAATCTGATAAGTTCAGTTTTGGCTCCGGATCTTCAAAAATGACTTTGACACAGGAAGAGATGTATCAAACAGTCCAAACACAAACAGTGTACGTACGTGCGCACAGGCACATATAGACACAAGAATGCACACAGCAAAGATCAAAACAGTGGCTCAAAATCAGGACCACAGGAAAAAAATCTGGAAACTGAAATTCTGTTGCAGTCTGAGTGTGAAGATTTAATATAAAACATGTGTCTCTCATTGAGCCATAGAGAGAAGACCATTTAACATTTGTGTGTCAATGTACTGTGGCTTTTCTGTACATCCAGTGATGAAGAGCAGGATAGAACAAGAAACTTGATTGTAGTGATACAAATCTGACCCCTGAGGGAGGATTTTTCAGACAGGTATTCACTAACACAGCAGGTTCTATTAACTACTTGTATTGAAGTCACTTTAGGTCACACTGTCATTCTGCTGCACCAAAATATGACACAGAATTACTGCTTAGTTAAAGAAAGAAAGCATTTTTTACTTACTGTCGTATTTTTGTGCAGTGTTTGTTATAGTGTATGTCTAACAGTGTACACAATATATATATATACCTGTTGTAGGTTATTAAAGATGTTTATTAAATGATAAATTACATTAGATCTCGATATCAATACAGACAACTCCTAGTATAATTACATAATGATATATCATTTTCTGGTGTACCCTGTTGTAGCCGACTGCACCATATTACTCCTACATATACCATACTATGTTGACTTTGCTGCTACCAACCTCACCATATTACCGTTTGCTTAAGACGGTAATACACTATTAGTTCAAATACAATAGTTGTAGACATGCATGTGTAACTGCTGCTATTGACTGTAATTTAGCATTTTGAGTCCAATTGCTTTGAATGATTTATTTTCTTTATTTATCTGTACTTATTCTGTCCTTGTACTGCTGCAACACCCTAATTTCCCCTCTGGAGGATCAATAAAGGATCTTATCTTAACATTTTACTCACACATTTCTGAGATCAGGAGTCATGACGACATCATTGAAGTTCAACAGGGTAGAAAAATAGGATGTCAGACAATTAGCAGTGTAAATTTCACATTGTAAAATTCAATACATCCAGTAATTCTGGAGATATTTTACACTGGAGAAAAGTGGTGGCCCAATCGACAACACCTGAGAGTCACACCACTAGCATGGCTAAAAGAAAATACAGTGTGTCAAATGGCTGGCAAATGGAGCCAACACAGAAGTAACAAAAACTGCAGTTCCTCAAACAGCCACTTGAGGCTGGCTACAGAACTCTCCATAAGGCCCCATATTAAAAAGTCCAACATTACAGCAGAAATGTTTACAGACTGGTATAAAAAACGGGTTCAGTCTGTATACCTTACAGTATATTTAAGACACAGACAGCTGTTTTCAGTAACCAGCCTCCATTCAGTCGTTGTTGTCATCATCGTCATCAATATTAGCAATTTCTACTAGTATAGTTGCTGCTATTGTTGTTGCTGTCCACCTTTGTCTCTGTTTCTTTCCTTCTCTTTTTACCACCCATCCCATCCCCCTCTACCCCCACTTTCTCCCTCTCTCACCCCAACTGGTCGAGGTAGACATCTGCCCACCTAGAGCCGGAGTCTGTCCGAGGTTACTACCTCTTAAAACAAAGTTTTTCCTTGCTGACGTCGCCAAGTGCTTGCTCATGGTGGGAACTGTTGGGTCTCTGTAAATAATTTTACAAGGAGTCTGGTCTAGACTGAGTTAACGTTTGTAATGAATTGGCCTTATACAAATAAAATAAAATTCAATTCAATTCAGCCTCAGCTCCACCTACACTCCCTGTCTTTGCCTATTTCTTAATTAGCCTGGTGACAGCAAGAGCTGACCACACTAACCCTCACAGCAGTTCTTCAGAAACCTGCAAAATCTAGTGAACGTTTACAGCAGAAAAACTGAACCGTAGTCTGTGTGTTTTTCTTCTTGACATCCCGAAGCTGGTGAAAAAAATGTAAACAAGGGTAATTAACAAGACCTAAAAGTCTACAGACATGCTAGCGGCTCTGTGAGGATGTACTTATGTGCAGTGGTGCCTTGACCTAAATGCTAATGTGAGAATGATGGCGCTATATGAAGAGTCGGGGCATCATTAACATTGAGAGGGTTGCCACCCTTGCACATATGAAAATGCATCTTTGTACATTGGCTTTGGAAGCTACAGATTGCAAGTCTGTGTGTGTGTGTGTGTGTGTGTGTGTGTGTGTGTGTGTGTGTGTGTGTGTATGTATGGACAAAGGTGAGCTGAGACACGCTGGTGTAGCAACCTTTATTGTAGGAGCTCTTACAACACTGCTGAGGTTTTGTATCCTCAGGTAAAAATATCTTCTGTAACAACATGGGTAGAGGCTGATACACTGAGACTAATAGCACCACAGATAATAACAACAGTACAGTGACTCTGGGCCACTCATGACAACAAAACTGAAGGAGTGTGACTTACAGTTGAGGGGATCTAGAGGGGGTGTGTGTCTTTTCTATGTGTGGGTGTGAGGGGCTCACGCATTGAGTCCCATTAGGTTTCTTTTCCAACCTTCAACCGTGACAGATGTTTTCCAACCTTACTAATGAAATATGAAGGTGTGTGTGTATCTGTATGTGCGTGTTTGACAGAGGCCTCTCTCCTGCACAGACAATAAAGAACAGGTTTCTGTCATTCTGTCATTTGAACCAGTGACCTCAGCACAACTGTTTATGGAACCATCGCCCAAGGCTACACATAAAACATCACCTCCACATACATATACATGTAACTGATGTACACACAGGGGTGCTCACACATACGCACACATACAGATACACACACTCGGACAGAATCACACATGTTGAGCCCAGCTGTCGTGTCCTTATTAGTACCAGGTGAAGTGTTGATGGGTTTGTTTGAGAGTCTGCCTGATGTCATGTCCTGCTGTAGGCTTCATGATATAATAGAGCTTTCAAGAGATGTCGGGTGTGAGTTTCCACCAAGTTGGGAACTTGCAACTGGCCTTTTCAATTTGCTTTATAGGGTCAAAACCTAAAATAAAGTGGATCGGCCAATCATGAGCCTGTCTTTGAGGTTAACAGTCATTTAGGTACAGCGATGTATGTTTTAAAATCACAGCTGCGGTTGGTTCACTTACGCTGTTTTTATGTAAAACTTTGACTCCACAAGTCCGACATCACTTGAAAGAGTGGTAAGAGCTACAAAAATGAGTCCGCATTAAACCCTAAAGACAAATCCTTCAAATTGCAGGAGCTCCGGTCCTGGAGAGACAGGAGAGTTTAACCTCAATGAGCCAGTTTCCACCCATGCTAGTTAGCTGAAGTAAGTCAGAGCTCAGGGCCAGGCTAGCTGAAAGTGATGCAGGGATGCAGAATACCTGAGTAGAAATCAGCCAGATCCATTTAAAGGCTAGAAATTTAGTTTTAGTTGTTGTACTGATGGCTCTCCAGGACCGAAGCGTCTCCTTTTCAATGGGAATTTTTACCCTGAACTTTGCCTGCCAGGCAGCAATTTCTCCCAGTTGTGTACTGTCAGAACCAACCCTAAAATGGTTTAGGTTAAAACCATTACTTGGGTTACAGTCTAATGATCCCAGAGTAGGAGATGAAAATTGTACACAACCTGAGATGGTCTGCCTTGAAGGCCTAACTCATGGTAAAAAAGCTCTCCTGTAAACTTAGAATTTAGAATTTGAAGACATTTCCATTTGTCTGCCACACAATCATTTGTCGTTTTGTGACAAAAAGTATTCCAACACAGTGTATGGTAAATGAGTGAGACTGAATATTTGTAATGGAACTAAAAATCTAAAGCGTGTTGGTCCTGTTGTTTGGGGCCCTGCACTCAGGTCATGGCCACCCTGCGGGAGACGGTTTGGGCGAAGACCCCACGGAGCAGAGAGGGGTAGTCTGGTATGCGGAACAGGTGGCGCTGGGCATAGCTGATGTCGTCCTGGCGCCCCCTGCTCACCAGTGTGCGCAGGTTGGCCTCATTGACTTGGCTGCCAACAGCAATGACAAAGAGCTCCACCCCGGCGTCTGCCACCTCACGGACACGCTTCTCCAGCACAGCTTCGGTGATGGCCTGAGACCTGCCATCGGAGAACAGCACCAGCTTCTTCTTGCCTCCCGATGCGTCCCCACGGCCAGGTAAATTAGTGATGGCAAAATTCATGGCCTCTAATACGTTGGTGCCATCATTTTGGAAGACCGCCTCTTCAGCGTGATAAGACAGCAGGGTCAAATTGGTAGTTAACCCCTGCTCCATGCGGGTGCTTCGGCTGTACTGGCCCAGACCCACTCTGACATTGATACCCCTCTTCTTCTCTGCAGTCAGGAAACGCTCGGCCAAGCGACGGACAAAGATCTTGCTTGTCTCAAAGTTCTTCTGGCCCACACTGGCCGAGCTGTCCATCATCATCAAAATATCAGCACTTCCAGAGAAAGAGACTGCAACACACACAGGCACAATACATCTGATCAATAGCTGTTTGCAGTAGGTCAATAAATGATGAATGAATAGATAACAATGTGCTAGCCAAATAGCATTTATCAATTGTGCATTTTACAGGTTGTTTTATTTACATCTCATTTACTCTGCATGATATGTCTTTGTTGTATCTAATTATTTGAATCTACTTTAAACTACCATAGACATAATGTGAGACAGGGAGAAAAGTGTTACCAAAGATATAAATGGCGAACTGGGTAAAGAGCAGTACGATGAGTTAAACGTTAAAAAGAGCGAACCACAGTCCAAACAAAGGTAAAGCTAATATTATTCAAAAAGAAAAACAGACTTACTGGGACATTTGTAGTCTGGGCGCTGCTTATCTGGATGAGAGAACAACAGAAGTTAAGTTTATTTGGAGTTGGTACAAAATATTCAATTGATGGATATGTGTGTGTGTGTGTGTGTGTGTGTGTGTGTGTGTGTGTGTGTGTGTGTTTACCTTGACAGATTTTGGTTGTGAGGTTCTGCAGGAAAGTGTCATCCAGCAGCTCGGCAAAGTTTTCCAGGACAAAGGAAAATCCTGGTTTGGGATCACTCTTACAGACCACGTCCTCAAGCTGCTCCTGGTTGGGCGCACGGCCTGAGTAGTCCTTTACTCCTAAACCACCCACCTGGAGATGAGGAAGGAGGTTTTCAGTTAGCGTATTTGGTCAAAGGGTCTACGAGTGTGGCTGACCGTGTCTTTCTATGTATATTGTACTCACCAGGAGGTCTTTACCACAGAGGACGTTGAGAGGAACCGTGTCCCTGGAAATATCAGAACGTCCGTCGGTAAGAACGATAACGATTCGCTTATCATGCCTCATCAGCTGGATTATGTTGTTCAGAGCAAAATCAAGGGCCTCGCCTGTGTACGTGGCCTCAGCCAGCCAGTTCAAGTCTCTCACTCGCCTGTAGACACACACACATTTTTTAATGAAATGAATGACATTCAAAACATATATAAATACTATATATTCAAATTCAAATACACTTAGCCTATTAGCTGCTTTGCCGGGAATTAAATGAGGGGATTGATATTTCACCGTCTATTCGAGATACATAGGTCTGGATTGTGTTTTAGCCTAGCTCAGCATAAAGAGCAGGGGGAAATGGTACAGCCTCACTAAGCCGGCTGAATGAAAATACATTTTTCAGCCAATCACAGAAGAGTTTTATTTGATTTGTTAAATCTGTACATACGCATAAATATTTAAACTATGTAGTACCTCCCCCAAACCGCACAACATTCTTGTTTTAACATTTCTCTTCTGTGTACATATTGAACAAACGAGATACAATGTGTCAGTTATGTAAAGCGTAGCCTTTAAAGAGAGCCAGGCTAGCTGTTTCACCATGTTTTCAGTCATTATGCTAAGCAAGTTAATCGCCTCCTGGCTCCAGTCCAGATTTTCAGTCTTCTTACGTCACTCTTGGAGAGAAGTGAATATTCACAAAAGTGAACCTACAGTGTAATTTTCTATTTATCATAAAGATGGTAAATACCACAAATGTGTAAATAAACTCTGGAGAAGTTGGAAATAACTTTTTTCGAACTCACTGTTTAAAGTCGGTGAGACTATTAGTGGTGACTCCCAATTGGACAACTTCTTGGGCTTTCGATCCACTGTACTGGACAACACCTACCCTGGACTCATTGCCTGCAAACTGGAAAGAAAAGCATTGCATGGTGACAGTGTGTTTTGGTCTGTGTGTGTTATGTATACAAGCATGTGTTTTCTTCTGTAAACATTTCTGCGTCCCACCCATCCTGACTAATTACATCCAAAATGGAAGAGGAGAGTCATTGGAGAGACATAAAAGCATGTTCCAAAACCAGACAATATCTTTCATTCACACTTTCTATTTTGAGAACTGTTCTCAGAGCAGCATTTCCTTACAGCTCTGAAAACAGTTTTCACAACATTTTTGGTGTAATTCTGAATAAACAACACAATCCACAGAGGTCAAATGTGGGTTATCCTACAGAGGCTGGGAAAAGAGGGATGATTGCAAAATACAGCGTAGTCAGTGTCAAAACCAAAGATAAAGTCAGAGAAGGACATTACCTTGACTTGCTGGTCTTTGATCAGTCTGTCTATGAGTGTGATGATAAAGTCTTTGGCAAGAGCAAAGTTTGTGGAACCAATACTCTCCGAGCTGTCCACAATGAAAGCCAGGTCCATAGGTGCACACTTAGACTCTAGGCACACACACAAAACACACACATAAACAAAATCACAAGAATCACAATAGCAATGGAGCATAAGAAACAATTATGATGATGGCTGTGTATTAGATTTAATACAAACTTACCACAACAAGCTGTGAAGCAATTAGGAGAGGATGGAAAAAAAACACAAATCAAAGTTAATTAACTGTGCAAACCCCCCTCCCCCAACAACATAACCTTCATAACCCTCACATTCTTCAGGTTTTGATTGCATGTTTGGCCAATCAGGCATGGAGTTGAAAAAGGCAAAGTGTTTAACGCAGAATACATGTGGCTTCGTTTCTGTGAGTGCGCGTTTAAGTGTGCAAGAAGTTGAGTGTTTAACTTACAGCAGAGCTTCATGATGATATCCAGAATTTCACATTCCTGAAGAGAGAGGTGGAGTACATGTTACAGTACGGCAATGCACTGTTAAATCACATTACATAACTTTCAAACACACACAACCAGGTTCTTGACTGTTTGAAGCTGATCCAAATAAAAAATATGGTGATATTTTACTTAAAAGAGTGGTCGGTGAAAGGCTACGGGTTTTTGTATCAGGAAATTGGTTGTGTGGCTTTTGACTGAACAAACAGTATCAATTTCAGAATCAAAACTAGCGCAGCCTCAAGGGGGAATTAAGTCTAGGGTACTTAGAGGTCTGGCCCTGTGGCGAAAAAGAGGGTGAGGGTTCAGATAAATGGACTGATTACAATTTTTTATACTCACATCAGTTCCTGCTGGTCCAGGAGGCCCAGGAGGTCCCTAAAGAGAAAAGGAGAATGAGTGAGTAAAGAAGATATAGGCGATTCATCCCCTCTGATAGATGTGTTTATCTGTTTTAAAGAAACTGGCCAGACAAAAGTTTATCTGGTCTGACTTCAGGATGACAAAGCTAGTACTGGCAGTTTTTATTTTAACTGGAATAAAAAAAAGCAGTGATTCTGTGGAAAACCATTATTCCTTTGACTGCAAACCAGAATCGCTCAGTCACTGAAGCCACATCCTGCTATCTATCTGCAACAACATGTGAATCTTCCAAAAGTTCATTTGCCACAGCATTTTTTTCTTCGCTCGACTGCAAGAAAACCATCTGTTTTGTTTTAACAGACATTAAAATGTAAGTTTAAGAGCATTCTTTTCTGCAACAAAGGCGCCAGAGTAGCTTGGATGTGTGCACACAAGCAAACACACACACACAACAGAGAGAGAGACAGAGAGCGACAGAGAGGGACAGCCGTTAATTGTAGACGAGAGAAACTGTCTCAGGAACGCATGACGCAAACTGCTCATACACAAATATGCAGCAGAGACACAAGCCAGAGAAAAGAAGGAAGAAAGGAAGGAGTGGGAGGAAGAGGAGGAGAGGATGAGAGACAGAAAGAGGGCAAGTGAGAAAGGGTAGAGTTTGAGGCCTTGGAGAACATGTCTTTTCACACCATGTTATATTTAGATCTTTTCACATGATCCAATACCACAAGCGTTCACATGCCAGTTGGTGAAAGGGAAAGGGAATCACTCTATCTCTCCAACATACTGTGAGTCAGACTAAGAGATGCCATTTAGGTAAGTAACTAAGGTCCTTCATTATCATGAACACAAGCGCTGTAGTTTATTTTATGTACTGTCCCGGTGCTGTAAATAGTCACTAGAGAACCAAATTTGTATTAATCTACAGCTGAAAATAGTTCCTAACAAATACACTGTTTTCTCATGTTTGAAAGTATATCTTTGTGAAGTCTTTAGTAAGAACAAGACACAGACAGGCTGGTGATGTCTGAAATGACTGCGACACAGACCGACAAACATAGTTAGTTTTGTTGTTTTATTGCCAGACTGGTTCTTTAAATTAATGCAAATTCTAAACATGTACGTAATTGTTTGGAAATGCTGATTCTGCCACTGGGGCAGTGTGTGATCTGACATTTGATATAATTTCACTGACTTTGTTAAGAGTAAAATAAGTGGCTTTATAAATATGTCAATTAAGTAATGTAACTTTCAATTAAGGCAAGCTAGGATAATCTTGGGTTCAGCTAACTTCAAACTAAGTCCACTTTCCACAGCAGATATTTACAAAAGAAAGTAAAATCACCCCAAAAGTATGTTTTAATGTGAGAGAAGTCTGCTTTCCATATGTGGACAACAGTCCCTCCAATGTCTCAACTTGCATACGCATGCACACAAGCCTACAACACACATACACACACAATTAGCTCATGCTGTGGCTTGATGGTTTTCTTACCGGGTTGCCCTCGGGTCCTCTGTGACCTTTGGCTCCTTTAGGCCCTGGAGGCCCTGGTTGGTTGTTCTGTGTAAAAGGAAAAATAATGGAGATTAAGTGAGAGACCTAAGAGTTTCTTTTTCTTAAATAGATATGTATTTGCAAACTACAGGATGGAAACAAATGTTATAGTTATACATACAATTATGTATCAATTTTGAAAATGTACTGCTGTAAACATCAATCACTGACAGCTTTGCGTCCTGTAGGAGCTTTGAAAATTAGAAAGCCTTCATATGACTATAGTCAACTAAATCTCTTCCCTAGCATTACATACAGTGTCAGCCACTATCAGTCTGTAATACAACTTCATTACGGTTTGTTCAACCCTTTGCTTTAAATGTGACATGGTGCTTGATAGTGAAAATGTTTCAATACTGGATTGACTACTGCAAAAAATAATTAAAAACACCAGAAAGCAATGAACACAAACATATTGAATAAAGTCTATAATTGAGCACTGTTGTTTATTTCAAAGAAGTGCAGCACAGCAGTAAAAACTTTGCTACTTACAAATTGCTTGCTTATTAATCTTTGGTTGAACCAGATCTGTGATCTGAACATAAATTAATATAAAGACTGAATAGTTCTACCAAATGGAGCAATGCTAATCAACAAAGAGTTTTGTATGTAGTAAGAGGATTTCTTTCTTTTTGTCTGAGCCAGAAGGCAGAGGGAGCCACTGTGTAAACTGAAACACTGTGTTTATTATAGAACCCTTGCTGCTGTATTTTAGGCTGGTTTTAAATTTTGTTATGCTGCAATTTGGAAGGCCTGAGAACGAAACATCACAGTAATCTAGTCTGAATGACAGATTTGTGACAACAGTGGTTAAACAAATCAAATCAATCAAAATCAAAATAACTTTATTTATCTGTTAGGAACTTCATTTGTGTGAAGGCATCAGTGCAAACACAACACATAACCAGATGATCATCTTGGAGAAATAATCTGGACAACCTGATGGGATAGCAATGTAAATCTGGGTGTCATCAGCATAAAAACATGTATTCATGGAGAATTTTTGAAACAGTAAAGATGGAAATATCTGGTAAAAAATGTGTAACGTAACATTTTTTTCAACAAACTGGACATTTATTGGAAGCATGCATAACTACTAAATCTCAAAATAGCAGCTCCTCGGTGGCTTTTTAATGGAAGCAAATGACTATTTCCAACTACCAACACAGGGGTACTGTGCTAAGTACAAATTTGAAGTACACGGTACTTCAGTACTCCCAGTTTACATTTTCATTTTGGGAGAATTTATATACACTACGTTTCAGAGGAAAATTAAAAATTGTATTTATCTTGTGGCTGTACTTACCAAGTTACTTGGTTTGGACAAAGTTCATAAATTCATATTGTCACTATAATTAATGTATTATTATTTTTTTCTTTCTGCCTTCTTTACTTTTTTCACCATCCCCTTCTACTTCCATTTCTTTTTTCCTTGCTCCTTTTGTTATTTATTCAATTTCTTCTTTATTTCTTCTTTCATTTTCCCATTACCTTATCTGCTCTAGCATCATGAAAATCCCCCAAAGACTATAATTACTGCATTTTCAACTTCAAACACTCTGATGTATAGAACTTGGCCATATCATCAAAGGAAGAGATACAATAACTAAATATTCAATTAATATTTTGATAAAGGCCTATATGAAACGTCTAAAAGACTACAGTATATGTCATATCGACCCTTTATATGTACAGCCAGTCTGAGTAAAGTCTAATAAGTAATCTCAAATCTTGGTTGAGGCCAGGTCTGGCTTAGAGAGAAGCCAAAGCCCCTGCAGCTGCTGTAGTCTGAACCACTGCTGATCGATATGTGATTATGAGCCAGACTGTAAGTGTGGAGAACAACACTGTAAATCAATTTAGGAATATTATTCCGTCTTTAAGTTCCATGTTCCCAGAGATACTGTTACATACACACTACAAAGAAATGTGCGCAATTTGGTTTGAGGAAGACTGTGGACAGCTGCAGGGAATCACAAATTAATGCAAAATTTCAAATTGAGAGCGGATACCACGCATAATAGAGGTATGTTCCAGAGACGGCTTTAAAAACATGCTGATTCAAGGGTAGCGGCTGTTTTAAAGAACGTATTATTTACTCATGTACAATATTAAACCCTTTAAACAAGATTATCTGTTCAAAAGGGTTGCATGTATTCTCTTCACCAAGAACTGATACTGTAACAGAAATGTGACTCTGTCCTCAAATCCTAGGGAGGATTCATAGATAAACTTTAGCCAGTTTAGTCCACACACAGTTCATCTCCTCTCTGCTCTAAACACATTGTAATTGGTAGTCACATAGATACTTATTTGCAGCTCAACATGCCATACAGAAATGAGACACAGTGAGGTCAAGAGGGCAGGCTGGCACTGTAAAGTCACAAATCATCACAATAAACATTTTTTGCTCTTTGATCTGAGATGGAAGCCAACTGATCTGCACTGCTGCATATACAACCATCTACATACAGTGGACAGATATGAAAGAAGGGAGAAGGTAATGCCTACCACCTGGCTTTTAACACACACACACACACACACACACACACACACACACACACACACACACACACACACACACGCACATAGTTGCTGTCAGCCTTGAACACACACACACACACACACACACACACGCACACATACACAGACTGTTCCAATTACTGCATTCTTAACTTCAAACACTCTGATGTATAGAACTGGGCCATATCATCCACACAGTTACACACACAGACACACACGTCCTGACCTTGATTTTATAGCATCATATATGACGACATATAGCCAGATGTGACTGTGTGTCATACCTTGTTGGTTCTGTATCAATTATCATTCCAAAGTATGTTAAGCTAAAAAGTCAAAAAGGTTGAGAAGTCAAAAGGTCTATCTCCACCTTTATCTTCTCTATCACGTCCTCGTCTATAACCTCCTGTCCCCTCTGGCCAGAGATAATGCAGGCAACAAGGTACATGCCTGTGCGGTGTGAAAATATTTAAACAATTTATATTAGCTGCTCGAAAATCACAATGAAGCCAGTGGCATTAGACTCTGTGAAAATGTTGTTGGCTAGTTTGATGTCTCATGATTTTAAGTCAAACTGGTGACTGTTTCTTCAGCTGTACGGTCCTAAACGGTGAGCGGACGATTGTAAAATTTGTAGGAACAAACAAGTGATTGTTTGAAACAGATATAACGGCTTATTAAAAAGAGAAAAAAAGAGATGAATGAATGCCTCTGAGGGTAAGAGGATTGTAATGGATTCATTTTTTCCATTGAGACAGACAAAAATGGCATCTTATTATGTACTTTTATAAAGGACTTAGTCATGGACTAACCAATGGTCCAGCAGCAGAGGGGAGATTAGTCTGATTTCGTTTAAGGCAATACTTCTACATTTTGGGATATGCACTCATTCACTTTCTTGCTGAGAGTTAAATGAAAAGATTAATACCACTCTCATATCTGTCTGTTAGATGTGAAGCTTAGCTTAGCATAAAGACTGGAAGTATCAAAGACTGAAGTGTAATAGTGATAAGCTGCGGTTTTATGGGGGTTATGCGGCAGATTTTTAGAGGTACTGCTCTGTACTGTACCTCTGTAAACTCACAACTCTTCATCTGAACACTTTAGAGGTGCAGGTGGGCGGGTTTCAGACAGAGTCAACCTAGCTGGTGTTAATCCAAGCTAACCAGCTGCTGGCTGCAGCTTCATATTTAAGGTATGAGAGTGGTATCAATCTTCTCAACTACCTTTCGCCAGAAAAGTGAATAAGCATATTTCCCAAACTGTCAATCTATTCCTTTTAGCAAATGTACTGCCAACAAAGAGGCATATATTTCAATAAAAATACATATCAAGAGAATGTAAAAGTGGAGCTCATTAGAGAACCATATGGGCGATTACTGACAACCACTTTCCAAAACTTAAGTGCTAGTTCGTAGACTGACTGAGGCAAAGTGCTAATTATTTATATTTCGGTAAAAGAACCAGCCTAGAAAAAGGAGCAACAAGTAGGATCTACAGGTTATTGTGAAGTTTCCAAAACATTTTCCTCTAAACTGACTCATACATGTTTTGAGTTGGTGATTTGGCACTCTATAATCAAGCTGAGGATTATGGTCCTTTATCACAGCTGTAGAATCAGTTACAGAGGTTATGGGTTGTTTCCTCCATGCTGCTGTCACTCCTCAGGGACAAGCAAAAGATGGAAAAGCTAAACAGTGTGGTCACTGGGTGTATCATATTTCTGCATCTAATCCCTCCCCGTACTCCAGTAACACAAAAGTCTTGATGAGTGGTAAACTGATCTGACACCGTAAATCCAAAGTGTGGCTCCTCTTGAAGAGGTCAGGGTGCACTGATTCAAAGGACAGAAAAGTCCAAACATGTGCAGAAATGTTTATGCCATAAAATGCGGACCTTGGAAATGCAATAATTTGAATGTAAACATGATGAAGTTGAACCAGGGGTTAAAGTGTTAAAACTGGTACGCTACATGGACACGGGTGATCACACACGTACCATTTCCACACACATGCACATTCACACACAACGAAAGAGTAATGCAGTCCCTTCATCGTTTCTGCTCATTTCCTGGTATCCTTGACAACGACATATACACAGCTGCATCAGCTCAAAGCCCTCTTCCCCAAAGACACACACACATACACATACACACACATAAAATGTGTTCAGATCTATTTGAGAAAGCATTTCCAGCTGCACAACAGAAGGCGAGCTTGAGAATGGATGGATGAACGGAAAAAAATAAGACTAGTTAAATTAGAGCCTAATGCAGAAAAACCAAATGAAAGATTTGAATTTAAAACAAAAACACATGATTATGGATTATTATTATGTGTTAAAACAGAGCAATAAAAATGAAATATGTAAATGTGCCCATAAATTAGGACATGTGACTCACATCCTGTCAGTGCTCTCTGCCAGGAAGGGATTGAGGAGAGATAAAATGAGATCAAGAGCGAAAAATAACGAGACAAGTCAGAGGGAGACTCACATCGGGGCCTGGATCTCCGGGTTCTCCATCATCTCCTTTGGGTCCAGGGGTTCCATTGCCACCCTGAAGGTTACATAGCAAATGTCAGAAGTTGACATGGGCATGACAATTGATTTTACACAGTTGGCAGTGAACTTCAAACATAGATGCTCATATTTAGTGTTGATGTGTAAATGTAAACTAACTTGTGTCCGCCCAACATCTGGTTTCTAATAAAAGTCCAACTTAAAATAGAAATTTAAAGGATAACTTACAGGCTCACCGGGTTCTCCGCGGGACCCAGGATAACCCTGAAAAAGATATAAATGTTCAGAATATACATATTTACACAGAGCAAGGTGTGTCGTACGGGACATAAATCAACATATACCTGGAAACCAGGACAACCTGCAGTGCCATTTCCTTGGACACCATCTTCTCCCTGAAATTCAGAAAGAGAAACAGTTACAGTTCAATCAGCACACATGCACAAACCTCATGGCAGGGAATATGATGGATGGCACACATCTGTCATTCCCCCTCCCTGTCTCCCACACTCACCCTCTCTCCCATCTGGCCTCTGTCTCCCGGAGCTCCTTTGATTCCTCTCGGCCCTTTGGGTCCCTGGGAGAAGAAAGGAATGTTGAGATTATAAACTTGAATGTATTTATTGAAACTCCATGTATATGTTGTCTTTTTCTGTCTTATATCTACGTTGAACTGGCTGTGAAAACAAATCTCCCTCTGGGACGACAAAGTCTAAATCTAATATGAAATGTGACATGACATATGTTTGTTGAAAACATTTGGATCTTGTCAAGACACTGTATGTGTGTGTGTGTGTGTGTGTGTGTGTGTGTGTGTGTGTGTGTGTGTGTGTCTGTGTGTGTGCGTGTGTGTGTGTGTGTGTGTGTGTGTGTGTGTGTGTGTGGTGAGAACAAGAACAGTCCACATGGCTGAATGACTTAACTATTTACGTAACAATCACAATCTGTTACAGGTTACTGCTCACTGATTGCCGAGATACTTTAAAGATCTTATAATGGTTGGTAATAGTTCTAATATACATGACTGATGAATGTAACAGCTTTTTCATTGCAGTTGCTACAGTAAGCTGCACATTTTAATGGATTTTAGAGGTATATCAGGGGCACTTAAGTTGGAAATCTTATGTTTAAATAATCTTAAATCCCCTGAAACGCAGTTTAAAATCTTTACTATTTCTCTTCAACATTACGTATTCATGACTAAATAAAAAAAAATTGAACACTCTTTGGTTTCAAAGCTTAGTTATCTGTAATATTATACATTCATGACTAAATAAGATAATAACAAGTTTATAAAAACTCTTTAGGTATTGATTATATAATAATGTATGTATAACACATGAACTAATCTGTTCATCGGGACTGTGTGGTTGTGGTTTGATCAGACTTGATTAACAGTGACCAAACAACAAACTGACTGTCGTCAAATTCTGATTCAAATGTTGCTAAATCCTGATTGGTGCAAGTTCATGACCCCTTTTTCCAACTGAGCCCCTCCCACTTGAAACACATGAGAGGAGGTCAGACAGAAACACAAATACCAAAATCTGTCATGTAAAATAACCAGAACTGGCAGATAATGTGTTCAAGTATGACGATGTCACTAATATTAAGAAGCTGAGTTAATAGGTTTTCATGGCCTTTAAGAATATGCACGCTCTGTGAGTTTGTGTGTGTCCTGTTCCACTCACTTCTGGTCCAGGTGCGCCTTCATCTCCTCTGTAGCCAGGAGGCCCGGGTTTGCCGCTCTCGCCCTGGAAAACAACAACTCTGTTAATTAGACACTGTTAAAAACACTTGTCTAGCAAAAACAACCACATAAAGTGCACTCAGCTGACAAAGAGCTTTGACACCAACCAATCTGAACACAAGCTACAACACAGAGACCAAGTCCTGCCCAACATTTGTTCACTGATGGCATTCTGTTCACACTCTTTGGCAAACAAACAAATCTGATGACCAGTGGCTAGTGAAACAAGTTAACCTGAAAAGGAATTGACCCTAACCTTAATTGACTTAAGAGTTACTTTTTTAGTTACAGTTTTAAGGACTGTTCTGTCTCGCCAGGGGTCAGGGGTCCAACAGACCTGAAACCCCACGCAACAGTGATGTCACGGTGTCCTGGACTACATTTCTACATCACTGCATCAAAGTGAGAAGTTTGACCACTGGAGGTCAGCAGTCATTTCTTTTAATAGTAACATCCTCACTACAGTAAAGTAGTTGCTGATCGCTGCTTTAATAACTGCTAGTAGATCAATCTGAAGTTCCGCATAATGCATCATTATTCTTTTAATGTATGTTTTTTCAGTAAAAGTGACATGCTGAGTAAATTCAAAACTGCTCCCATCAGAATAAGATCAGAGTTTGTCAATATGTGGTCAATTTAATGTATTTAAATGTCCTGAGCAATGTCCACAGATCAGCCGCTAGCATCATGCAGTATAGCTTCCCACTAGCCTGTTGAAGTTTCACACAGTTTTTAATATGTTAACACAACACTCCAACATTGGAGAAGAAATGTTTATTTGGAATCAGATATTTATTACTGAGGAAACTGTTAAATGTGGAAGTTAGCTCTCTCAAAATCCTTCCAAACCTGTCTGATTTACACATTGCATCTTGTGCATAGAAAGCAAGGCGTTGTAGTTTACAGAAGGAGTTAGCTTTTGGATCGGCACTATTTCCTAGCCAACAACAGCTGGGTCCAGCTGCTGCATGCATCCTGTCACCGACTTTGCAAATGGAACAAAGCACTAGAATGTAAGCCCGTGTTTCCACTGCAAAGCTAGGCAACAACGGACCTATCTATGTGCTGATGCACAGAGGTGAAATTAATATTGTTCTTGTCATTGTTTGACTCTAGGGAATACCAATATTTGCTAAAATGTCACAGTTTTACTATAATTTCAAGTTAATGTTGACAAAAAAACATAGCTAATGTGTTTTAATTAAGTGTAATATAGTATAGTGTAACTGACAGTGTTTAATGAGTGCAAATTATGTCTGGCACATTACTGTAACCTGAGGATACAGTTTTTTCCTGAATGTATGAGGTAGGCCCAAAATGTCAGTTATTCCATGTTTTTTTGTATTATTCAGTTTGGTCACTATTCATTCAGCTCTGATGAGGGAAGGAGGCAGCACAAAAGAGCCATTGAAAGTTCTGACATCACGGAGGTTACCACAACTAACGCTTGTAACGTATTATTATTATTACACTGCCTGGTGCCTTATTAAGAAAACCATACTGAGGCTTTGGCTGGGGCAGACGGAGAGAAGAACTGAGTCAGAGGGGAAAGAGTGAGTGTTGATGTTCCCAGGAAGAGTAAAAACTGAGAACGAGAGAGGGGAGATGGAGCATGCAAGGAGTGGTCAGCACTCTGGGGCAGCAGCCAGGTTCTCCACTGTTCAAGCTTCTGCACAATGTACTCCCCCCTAAACTAGAAACACTGATGCTCACATGTGCACGCACACTAGAAAGCATGCACACACTCGGGCACAAGTTCCCCTCTCCAACTGGAAAAAAAACGATGAGAGAAAAGTGGGTGGTTCGTACTTACATCCAACAGTCTAACCAATGGTGGTACTGTATACTAGAGCTCCTGTGGGTGTCTATGTACGTGTGTGTGTGTGAGTATATTGTGAGTATATTTGAGTGTGTCTTACGGGGTCTCCGTTGGGGCCAGCTGAGCCCTCCCTCCCCTGTTCTCCACGGGGTCCAGGCTCCCCCTGGCAAGGAAAAGAACAAATGTATCAAAGCCACCTAAAGTTGACAGTAACAATAGACAAGTAAAGCAGGCAGAGCCAAGATTTAAAAAAAGTCAGTAGGAGAACATGGGGATAATATAAAAACAGTATGAGTTTCATTAAGGTCACTGTGGTTGCACTCAATAAGCCAAACAGAATTTCCCATGAATATTTAAGAAAGAGGTGCTAAAATCAGACTGAGGGGCAACTTATCATCCCTCCTCATACTTATCACTTACCGGCTCTCCTCTTGGACCTCTGTTTCCACGGGAACCTTGCTCCCCCTTCTCTCCATTGGCTCCCTACAAGGAATTTTAAAGATGTCAACACATATTTTGGCCGTTGTTACACACAAACACTTAAAGTCAGTTTTAATCATATTTACTCTCTCGCCACGTGGTCCATCATTTCCCGGTGGGCCCTGAAACACACACACATAGCAGGGTATTAGACAAAGCATTACAGATCACAAAGTAGATTTTACTGCTGTTGTTAGGAGCTTTATCACTTACATCATCACCGCGCTCTCCTTTGTCCCCATCGTTTCCGGGAGGGCCCGCTTCACCCTGTCACAACACAGACATTTACAGATGTATCATATTTCCTGCTTCTTGTGATATGCTCTGCATATATCCGTCTTATGTCATCATTCTTTCTTTCTCTTTGCACTGACTTACCTGAGGTCCCGGTGGGCCGTAGTTTCCTGGCCTTCCTACGTCGCCGTCTCTTCCATCATCTCCCTGAAATAAGCACACAGTGTCTCATTACAAACCACTAAAAGGCAATTTGGAATCTTAAACAGCACAAGTATTTTTGTTTCATATCGTACTTTATCTCCTTTAAGTCCATAAGGACCAGGGTCTCCCTTTGGTCCAGGATCTCCCTGGTGGCCCTGGAAGCAGAAAACACAGACACAGTTTAAACACATGACCATTAGCAGCTGAAGCCACAACACTTCATCTTAGAGGCCATTGCGTATGTACGTGTAGGTATGCGTGTGTGTTTGTTTACAGTATGACTATATGGCTTCATTTAAACAATCTGACAGCAGAGAATGTAAACCGAGCAGTGATTAAGAGCCAAGGGCCTCAGTCTGCCTTCCCACAGGGGATCCAGACGCAAGATGTGATGCTGATCAGGTCCACACCACCAATGACATTCCTAAACATGCAATTTTGCCTAATGGGTAATCTGTAAACAGTGTGGCTGAGCCTTAGGCAGATACGGAAGTGGCCTGTCTGAGTGTGTGTGTCCAATCAAGAGGGAATATAAGAAATCAGAATAGAAAGATAGAGAGTGTGTGTGTTTGTGCTAACACCTATACATCTGATTGTATTGGTTGGTTGGTGTGTAACATTAGTGTGAGTGGAGCTAAGTTGGATTATTCCAAGATTGAGTAAACAACTCACGTCTGAACCGGGAGATCCTTTACAGCCAGGAAGACCAGAGAAACCAGCTTCACCCTATTTTGAGGAAAACCAGAGATACATATCTTAAACAACCTGATGGAATCAGCAAAAGACAGTCCGATAGCCAGAGCTGTATGATTTGGATGTTCATGTCTGTAACTCACCTTGCGTCCATCAGTTCCATCCCTTCCTCTTTGACCTTTGTCTCCCTGAGAAAGAGAGATAGATATAAAGACGATAGAGAGTGAAAGAGGATAAAAGTGATAGAAGATCCATTAGCTTTCAGAGCAATCACAGACAGGAAAAAATCATTCTGAAGGCAACTGTAAGGAAGAGCTCACCTTGTAGCCTTTGTGTCCTCTTTCACCCTGTGGAGAACACACAAAGCATTAGTTAGCCATGTCCATCAAATCTACAGCACAGTAATCCTGGAACATATACTGAATTCTGTAAGTATACTTTTTGTATTCTGATAGTACCTTTTCTCCTCTGCCACCACGGTCTCCCTGGAAACATAAATACACACATCATCAGCAAAGTGATCAATGACCAACATGAAATACTATGCTCAGACTGTTTCCTTGCTTACGTAAACTTGTTTCTAGGTCCTAAAAATTTATTTGAAGCTAAAAAGGTGGATAAGGGCTCATCCTTTCATATATTTTTACATTTGCAATAGCTTGCTAAAGAGATAACAAGAATAAACTGAATTGAGAAACTGACCCTTATCTTAAGACTATAACATGAACAATATGTAAAACTGTAAAAATTACAATATATATGTTTTTATAAGATGTAACCCATTACATATGTAAATATAAACTATGATAGTGTTGTATTATCCATTACACACAGCTTTCTCATGCATCAGTGCTGCTACTGAATCTCTTTAGCATCCATTCACATTTAAAAAGTCTCTCTTGTCACTTCAGTATAAAGAATATCACTTGTGTTAACTTAAGTGCACTCTACCTTCATTCCACTGTAACCAACAGGACCAGGATCTCCAATGCTGCCCTGTAATATAGAGAGAAACATTAGATCATCAGAATGACACCTCTTTCAAGCCTGAACGACAAACCCAAAGTGATGATTGTGTTGTCCTTTTGTATGCGTGTTTGTATGTTGTGGATAGTGTTGCTGGTGGTTGTGTAGGAGGACGAGGGTGGACATCACGTACCATGTCACCAACATCTCCTTTCTCTCCTGGCATCCCTGGTCTACCTGTTTCTCCCTGTAGAGAGGAAAAAAGATGAAACAATGTATGATGATGAAACCTGTACATTTGTGCATTAAGGTACATTGGGTTTCTGACATCATTTGTTTTTGCTATCACACCTTTGCACCGATGTCTCCGTCTGGTCCTTTAGGACCTCCTTTAGCCTGCAGACAAAACAATAAGATAATAATGGTGAAACAATTGCTCCAAAAAAAAAAAAAATTGAGATGATGAATTTATGTTGGCAGTAGAATATAATAAGGGGTTTACTTACATTGCAGTCGAACGAGCAACACTGGGAAAAAAGGAAAGAAAGATTATGAACAAAGCAGGAAAAGTGTCTCTATGTCTCTATATATGTGCGAGCATTATTGGCTACTTTGATTAAATTGAAATAGGAGACATAACCCTATTTTTTCTGGTCTGAAATTAAATACCTAAATATCATGTTCAACTGAATTTAACGTCACCATGTTTGACTGTCAGACGACAGTAGGGCTGGGCAATATTTCCACTATTTAAGACATATCTGCAGGGAATTTGTTGGAGACACAACAGTCAGCAAGATTGTGAATATCACTGCAATCTCAGTTGGCTTTTCATGTGTTCATTTCAGCTTCCTGTAGCTGCCCTGCCTGACCCCTCCTTGTTTCCTGAGTGTAAGAGAGTTTAGCAGAGTTTACATGGCAGCAAAGACCAGCAGCAACAAAACTTAGCCAGCAACTCAGACCGAACAAGAGGAATGTAATGACCTAAAATCTAAAAAGACAACAAAATCCCAGACTCTATAAACATCCTCACTATATTAGAAGATTTACTACACTAAGGTTTATAAACTTTTAGGAGATGACATTTAGCCAGTATACAACTATTTGTCTTAATCTAAGCTGCATCAGCAAAACTCAACAGAAGCGATTCTGATGTTGGGATGATTCGGTAAAAAAAACAGATCGATTAATAATCCCTCAGTTTAAACAATTCAGTAAGTAAGTAATAACAAACTACAAACTGCCAAAAAGTTGGGCAATATCTCAGCCATATTGCCCAACCCTGAATGAGAGCAAATCCAATCCTTGGGAGCTGAAATACAGTTATGTATGCACAATTACTGTGTAACTGCTCATTTAAATACCTTTAATTACATACAAAAACATGAAATTAATTTCCTTTAAAAAATGTCTTAAAGAGACATACCGTATCCTTTGTCTCGTTTGTCTGAAAAGATGGAAAGAAAAAATAGATGTTAGTTCAAACTCTAAATATTTCATTTTGTTTGTGGAGAAGAGGAAAGGAGAGGAGAGGAGAGGATACATACGATCATATCAATGATGGTTCGAATGGTTTCCATCTTGGTGGATCTGGAGTCGTCTGCAGCAGTAAAGTTCTGTCTGTAGTTCTGGTCTGTGGCAATGAGTAACAGCCTGGTGTCCTGAAGAGACACAAAATACAAACATCATCACAAGCCTGAAAGCAGCACCTAGAGTACAACACACTTTCTGGTGAACTGTAAGTGACTGATGAGACCAATCTCTAAAAGCCATGAAATATTGTGACATTATGATTTGCTATGCTGTCGTTACTGTTGTCGTTTTCCTTGTTGTCCCTCAACTTTACTTCACTGTATTTTACATAATTCATACCTTCATTTTAATACAAATGTGTGTGTGTGTGTGTGTTTTGTACCTCCTGGTCAGGTGTGATGGCGACAGCGAACACTTTGACTCCGTGTTGCTTGGCTTCATTAGCAGCCTCCTGCACGCCTCCGCATGGCTCTTTGTAACCAGTAATAGGATGGCCATCAGTCACTACCACGATGTACTTGTTCTCATGATAGTGGGAGCCACTGCATGCAGGCAGACACACAAACACACATGAGGAAATGATATCACACTTCTTATTACTTAATCTGTGTATAACTGTATATGTGCGTTATTGTTACCCAACGAGCAGCTCAGCAAGGCCCCTCTTGATGGCACAGTCAGTATATGTGCCTTTGCCGATGTAGTCGATGGCACTGATGCTATCCTTCAGGGCCTGGCGTTCAGTCGCCAAGTCACTCAGCTCTCGTACAAGGATGACTTCGTCACTGTAGTGCAGTGCTCCTGAGTTCCATGTCAGGGTGCGATCACATCGGTGGCGCCTGCATAAATAGAGGTGGTAAAGGACCAGAGTGTAGGATTTGGTGGAAACTATGGTGTTTACAAAACACGCAAAAGGCCCTATCTACAGACAGTGTTTGGTTTGTCCATCCTGGGCTACTGTAGAAACATGGCGGATTAACATGGTGGACTCCACAGAAGAGGACCCACTAACTCTGTAGATAAAAACAGCTCATTCTAAGGTAATGAAAACACTACGATTCCTTTTCTTTCAGGTGATTATACACTAGATCCTCCTCAATGTTACACACTGGACCTTTAAGTTGCAGTATCCAAATAGGACAGACAGGCAGTGGTGGAAGGTAACTAAGTACATTTACTGTACAGTTTTGAGGCCACTGTTCATTTTTTACTACTGTCAATTTATCATACAGTTTCAGTTACTAATTACTTTTGCAGATTCCAATTTTACATACAAAACCTGTGATGATGACCAAATACAATATTATGCATTAAAAATTACAATCAGTGATGGGTGTGGTCAGAAGCTGTACATGTAACCACACCCAGCTGTGATGTCACAGTGTCTTAGAGTACACCTGTACATCACTGCTGCAAGGTGAGAAGTTAAACCACTGGGGGTGTTAAGTTACTGTTTGACGAACATTTTGAACAAAGGACTCTTACTTGTAATGGAGTATCTTTCCACTGTGCTATTGCTGTTTTAAGAGTAAAGGATCTGAATGCATCTTCCATCATTGAATGTATGTATGTATGTGTGTGTGTGTGTGTGTGTGTGTGTGTGTGTGTGTGTCTTACATGTTCCTGAGTTCATCTATGAAGCGATTGGTGAATGATTTGATCTGGTCAATATAAAAATTGGGAGGGTTCTGTCTGAGGGCGACACTCTCAGATGTATCCAGCACAAAGAACAGGTCAACCGGACAATCTGCTCACAGAACAAACAAACAAACAAACAAACAAACAAACAAACAAACAAAAGATGGCTGTAAGACAAATATTATCCACTGAAGAACCATAAAACTGCTAAAATAGCACACTCAAAGTGAAATCTATGTGTTAATGAACCAGTATGCATTTATAATAAGTCATCCATCCATTAATTCAAGTGGGCACAGGTATCACTACTGCAGCACTGGAGGCCTACATGATGCTGCTTGGAGCATCCCTGCATCACACTGGGTGTCATGGAGCTCACCTGACCCAATCTATCCATCTTCATACAGGTAGATCTGTACAGGTGTGGGCCTGTACTCATAGCATGGCTGTCTGCATATACACCTGTAGTGTAACTGTTGCACAGCACCTTGGCAGGGAAGCAGGTCTGAGGTCCCAGTACCTGCTTTGGTTCTTGTCTACATTTATCACTGTGGCATCCAAAGCACTGCTATAGATCTTAGTCAGCATCACACCCAACGGGTACTATTCAGGCCCATTGAGACTGCCGAACCAAACAAGGGCCTGCTCAAGGAGGGCTCAGCTTCTGTCATCCTCTGATCTTAGTTTCAGTTGTTATTGCATCTGTGCTGCTGATTGGTAAGGCTTCGCAGACTTCGGAAAGTACGTAACCCAAAGACAATGAACATCTGGACTGTAGCTCTTGCAGCAAACATCATCAGTACATGGCATGTTACATTCAAACAGCTTTACATGTAAAATAATGCCATAAACACCGGATACTCGAGCATTTTCTTGGAAAGTAGAACATATTTTTTAGCAAACTTACCCGCAAACTTGTCTCTTTGGTTTTGCGCTTGCGCTCCAGCCAGGAGAACGCAGAGCAGCGCGAGGAGACCACGGAGAGTCTCCATGGTTAAACCGCAAAAACACTAAAAATCGAGAGAAAGACAGCTCCCCAAACAAAGACCGAACCACTACGGCCCCGAGTCCGGTACCTCTAAACCGATTCGGCGAACTTTTGGCGATCCAGCGCACTTTCTCCGAGGCGAGAACCAGAGCGCGCAGAGGAGGACCAGAGCGCACTGCGAGGGAGGAGGAGACGTAGGAGGAGGAGTTCACGCGCTTTCTTCAGGGACGATTATTAGGAATAGACGAGAGCGCGCACGGGCCGAAAGTTTACACAAAATCCCTGATATGCCTGCTTCCTTAAAAGGGGTCCACAGGGACATGATTCTCTGAAATAAACCGGCTGACTGTGAGGGAGGCGCTGATATGCACAGATTGCGCTTTTTTTTTCTTTGCATGCAGGAGCTGATATGTTTTAATGTTTTAGAACATGTATAAGTAGAAGCTTTTGTAGTTTTCCTTTTCACTCACACAGTTAGGACCCCAACCAGCATGTGCCATGTAGAAATGAAAATCGAGAAATAGATGCACACTGGAGTATTTCATCAAAGTTAATGAAAAGCAGCTGACGCACATCTTGGAAGCATTTTTTATTCTCTTTCTGTGGAAGTCTCGTCTTTTTGGGGAAGGCTGGGGGAGTCGGGGGAGTTGGACTACATCTGGTTGACTTTGGCGTCCAGACCTGACCTGAACATAAAATCAAGACAAGAGGAGGAGGAGGGGGAGCTCTTTACTGCCCTTTTCCTCGGAAGCAGGAGACACAGTGCCATCTAGCGCTGTTTGTGGGCCGATCCTGGAGAGGGCTTTGGAAAGAGTTTCGGGGTGCAGTGAGACACTTCCATGGAAGGAGGCAGAGAAGTGTAGGCGTGGAGTCATTTGGCAAGGTGTTGATGGGGGTGGATGTTGCACGGTTGCCGTGGACATACATCTGTGTGTGTGCTCAAACTGTGGGACTGCAGGGAAGGTCTGGCCTGGACTCAGATTTTCCACTGAGATCACTGTTTTAGAGAGAAAAAATTGTGTTGAGAACCGGGGGGAGAGAGAGAGAGAGAGACGGGAAAGAAAGGAGAAAAGGAGGGGCGAGGAGGGGGGGGCATCTGGTAATGATCTGTGTTTATTAGCAAGCTCTCATAGTAAATCTATTGGCTTTCTGGCAGCTGTGGGAAGTGTATAAATTGTGATGCATGCATATAGAGATGTCTCAATACCAGCCGTCAGGAATACATTACTCGTTAGTCAAGCACTTGGTGACTGTTTTCAGTTTTCACAAATATGTGAGCAATTTTGATCAAAAGAAGTCCTAAAACTGGCAGGTTGGATTCAGATTACTGAATTATCTCACTTAGAAGTCATTATCTCCTCCCCTCGCCCCAGGACATAAACATAGGATGCTTCCTCAAAGGTTCAAGATTGAAGTCCACATGTAGAAAGAAATGCAAAATCACACATGCTTCCTAAAGCTGAGAGGTTCTGCATAATGTCTTGGGCACAGCCTGTTGGCAGACAGGATGTAGCACGAGTTTCCACAGGATCCTGATGTTCAGTGGAGAAGATTAGTAACATTTCTGAGTCAGTGAGAAAGAAGGAATAGTGCTGAGTACACCCAGTGTCTCCAGATGACATTTTTTTATTTTTCAGTTTGTGGTTTTTAACATCTTGCAGCATTTAACACACCACAGCATTCATCTCTGAGGTTGGTCTCCCTGTCAATGGCAAAGATTTTGGCTTGTTTGAGAGAGTATTATTCTAAAACTACTATGCATAAGTGACTCTGGGTGAGATGAAACATTGCATTGGAATAAGGGAGAAAACGAGGGTAAGAAAACCAGGTTCTCCTCTCCAGCGAAAAACATGAGAGTCAGGCCGGCACATATGGAAGAGATTAATCACCATGTGCCTGTAATGATATGACTCAAGACTTCATTTGCCCGAGGTCCAAGTTAACTTACAAGGTACTGGGAACCATGGTGGTCCAGATCAAACTTTACTGTCAGCTAAATGGGGTTAAAGTGGCATCATACAAACAGATGGAAAAGTGAGGGATTCTCTTTGTCATGGTTTAAACCACTTCAGATAATGCTGGGCAGCAGTCAAAACATCATGGAATTGCAGGCTAATGATTCTGAACCACACAAATAGTTAATGACAGGAAATGGTTCCGACTAGCTTCCACTGAATATGTCCCTCATCAATCTAGTCTCCTCAGATAGCTTCTATATAGTTTCCAGTTGTTCCAGTCTGCAGCAAAGCACAGAGCATTTGTTTGAGCCTATGTTTAATTTCAGTATGTAGGGTCATCTTCAGCCAGCACTGCCTGGGAATAAAATGGTTAATGGTCCACTACTGCCATCTAGTGAAGCTCGAATTCATTCTGAGCAAATCTAACTTTCAGTACTGTCCACCCTTTCCACAGAACTCTTACATTTCCCTCTATTAAATAAATTCAGTCAATATGCGCAAGCTATAACCAAGGTACTTTAATTTGAAATTCACAAAATTTGCAAACCATAGTGGGGGCTATAAAAGGCCTACAGGAATAAAGTTATGTCATGTTGAAATAAATGGTCACGATTTTAACTTTGCACTCACAATAATTTGTCTTCCAGTATATTTACAGAACCAACATTTTAATTTCTATTACTTTTGAGGCCTTTCCAAAAATATATTTTCACCAATATTACAGCTTCTGAGCATACAGTATCTCACCTAAATAATATCCAGAACAACATCCAAACATATTCATGCATAAGAAACTGATGTAAAAGCTCAAGTAGGGAACGAGGGGAAAGAATGGACCATTTGCTTGTGCTGATGATAAAGGAATGGTTCGACATTTTATGGAATACACTTATTCACTTTCTTCCTGAGTTTGATAAATATACCGAATCCATTCTCGTATCTGTCCTTTCAATATGAAGCTACAGCCAAAAACCAAGTAGCTTAGCATAAAAACTGGAAGCAGCTAGCCTAACAGGTTATATGTTGTTTCTTTAATCCACACAAAAACTGAAGTGCAAAAATGTTTCTGTATGTGCCAAATCATTTCTTCCCCCAGCGGATTTTTAATTGTAATTGGACAGAACCAGGTTAGCAGTTTCCCTCTGCTTTCAGTCTCTGTGCTAAGCTAAACATCTGCTGGCTCCAGTTTATTAACAAACAAAATGAGAGTGATATGAACCTTCTGATATAATTATCAGCAACAAAGTGAATAAGTGTAATTCCCAAAATGTTGAACTATTCCTTTAAATGTTCACATCATCCTTTACAGTTGGCTAATGTGACTACATTTACTTTACAGTTAAGAGGAAACTGAACTTTTGACCTCAATGTTTCAACTGTAGAACATTGTTTTATATTCCTCCATGTATTGCTTGGTTGGGTCATTGCAACTTTAGTAGCCCAAATGCCAAATGCAGTGTCGCAGTGTATGTGTAACATGTTATCCATGATTCTGCTCAAGTTCAAGCCTGACTCAGTTCATGTTAGAGTGGCTTTTCAGGTGCCTCCTCAGGTGGTTCAGACAGGTGTAGGTCTTGGGACAGATTTGGCAGTGGTATGGTCTCACCCCTGAGTGGTTCAGCATGTGCTGCTTCAGCACACTTCCATCTGAGAAGGCTTTCCCGCACTGGGAGCACACGTATGGCCGCTCTCCTGTATGCACGCGCATGTGAACTGTTACCTTGTGTGCCATTGTAAAACCTTTGCCACACACTGTGCACTTGAATGGCCTTTCTCCTGTGTGGGTGAGCCTGTGGGTGCGCATTGCACCCATCTGGGAGAAAGCCTTGCCACAATCTGGGCAAACATGTGGCTTCTCGCCGGTGTGAACCCTGGTGTGACTCCTCAGTCCTCCTGCTGTGGAGAAACACTGTGAACAGTGAGTGCACTGGTAAGGCCGCTCTCCTGTGTGAGTGCGCATGTGCTGCTTCAAGTCGTAGCGGTTTCTGAAGCCGCGGCCACACACGAGACAGCTCTCTGGTCGGTCATCGTTGTGGCGCAGCTCGTGGTTGGCCAGGCATTTTTCAGACAGGAAACACTTGCCACATTCCTGACACTGATAGGGTTTCTCATGGTCAACTCTCTGATGGTATTTCAGCTCGCTGATGCCAGGGAAAGTCTCATCACAGTATCTGCACCTGAAGCGATGGTTGGGGCTGTAGGGGAGCTGGTGTTCACTCATCTGATGGTTCCTCAGCATGTGGGCCATCTTGAAGGTCTTTCCACAATGAGAACACTCGTACTTTGTCAGCAGCTGGACGCACTGATGTCTGGCCCGCTCGTGTAGAGACCTGAAATGACACCCACACTTGGTGCAAATGTGGGCAGCATTTTTACACTTCCTCTTCCTGTGCCCGGACAGGTGAGCTTCTGTGCGGAAAGCTTTACCACACTGAGAGCATTTGTAAGGCTTCACCGCAGTGTGGAACCTCTGGTGCTCAAGAAATTCAAAACGATACTTGAAACTCCTTCCACACAGTGGACAGTTATGTGTGACTCGTCCTCGTGGGTAGACAGTTTTGACTGACGTTTTTCTGGAGGACATAGATGTCGAGGAAGTCCGGTGAGCGGAGCCACTCTTCTTATGCTTACCTCCGCTCATTAATTTGGCAGTTTCCATTTCTCCAACCTCTTCATGCCGTTGCTGATGTTTGACCAAACACTTGGAGGAGATAAAGCTCTTTCCACATTGCTTACACTGATAAGGCTTATCATGATCTACCTGCTGATGATACTTCAGGTCGCCAATTCCTGAAAAACCTACCCCACAATGACTGCACTTGAAAAGGCGGCTTTGGGCGTGAGTTAGCAGGTGTTCCTTCAAGCTGCTAGACTTTTGAAAACTCTTTCCGCAGTGCCCGCAATCATAGTTACGGCCCCTTTTTGGGCAGTGGTGTCTGAATTTGTCCAGTGAGGTTGGAAAACTGTTCCCACATTTAATGCACAGATATGCAGCATTTTTGCACTTCCGTAGCCTGTGACCAGCCAGCAGAGTGGCTGTTCTGAAAGCCCTCCCGCACTCGGAGCAGTTGTAAGGCTGCAGCCCACTGTGGACTCTCTGGTGTTCGATGAGGACAGAGTGATGCTTGAAGCATTTGTCACACTCGGGGCATTTATGCATCCCTGAATGCTGTCTCCTGCGAGGAGATGATGAGATGTCAGTCCTTTTTGGCGATTCAGGAAAGTCAGTTGATGTGGAAGGGTTTGTTGACAGTTCTTCATCGAACATAACAATCTGAGGAACGTCATTATTTTCATCATCACAAGCACTCGGGTGGGATGCGATGGCCACTTCCAGCGATGGAGGGAGACACAGGGAGGGAATGAGAAGATCATCTGACTGAAATGGAGCTGCAGGGAAAATAAGAGGAGAAAGTAACAAAAAAAGTGTTAATACAATAGTCTCCCTCTTCCTCAACTAATGTGCTATATATTGACTAGTTTACAGAAGATGCACATTGTGTACATACCAACACTACTCTTAGCCAATTTCCCGTGGCACTGTTTGCTTTGGAGAAGAAATTTAAGGTCATCTCCGTTTGAGACACACTGCATGTACTCCTCTAGGACAGAGGGGGCAGCACTGATCCAGGATGCAGTCTATACAAGTGAGGCACAAAAAACAGGGACATTTCGAATTGCAGAGAATTGTGATATTTATTTACATTGTATTCAAATTTTTAAGAAATCCTCTTGGCACCTGTTTGAAATCTGGTATTGGCAGAAGCTCCTCCAGTCTGGTGAAGAACTCACAAACCAGAGTCTCCAGTGCTGTGTCGAAGTCTGGGCCGTACTCCACTGGAAACACATTCTTTCAGATGGAAAGAATAAACAGACACCTTCAGAACATGGCATCATCCTTGTCCTATAATTAGGCATATCATTTCTCACATTCTGTTAGGTAAAATCTTGATAAAGAAATGGATTTATAATATTTTAATTTTGGCAGATCATATTATTTACTGCACCATATAAACAACATAAATTTTACCTTGAGGAAGTGTTCTCTGCCATCAGTGTCTTCAATGAGTCCTTGCACCAGCTTCATGAAGTTTGCCTCTGGTGCTTCAATCACAGGATCATTTGTCTGGGTTAAGAAACAATACACTACAGTCAGATGATATAAGGCAAACCAAATATTATACATATATAATTAATAACTTATCTATCTGATGATTTTTTTCTATTATTATTATTATTAGTAGTAGTATTATTTCCATTATTATTTTCTTGTTTAATCAAAAGTATTTTTTCAATCCAATGTCCAAATAGTGAAAATCCACAGAACAATTTCCCAGAGCCTGAGGCGATGGTCTTTTGTCTCACTAACAATCAATAACTCAATGATATCCAATTTACTATCATATATGACAGAAAAAAGCAGAAAGTCCTGACATACCAGGAGCCAGAAACAGTCAATGTATTTGCATTCATTATTTAGAGTTTATTCAAACAATCAAAATAATTGATAGATTAGTTGACTAATCATTTCAGTTCTGCAACTAATAAAAACAAAAACACTCACCTCCTCAATGCAAGAAGATCTGATTCGGTTGAGGTGGGTCTCAACAGCCTTGAGATCTTCAGGATGTTCAGAACGCAACAGTTCAAGAGTTGTCTAGAGGAAATTAAATTCATTATTTTCCATGAGACCCTCGTCTTGGGTCTCTGATTTGAATAGTCGTTGTTGTATACATGGTGGACCTACACGTATAAAACACTTACCCTTGCTCTCAGGCCCAGTGAGAGCAGCCTTCCTTCTCTTTTACTCATCAGTTCGGGGACTGCATCCGTTACCATGGACACAAACTCCTCCAGTTTCCCATAGTGCTTTATGTTGCGCTGGCGTACCACTTCCCACATCACCGCTGACATCAGCCGAAGTGGTGGGACCAAGAGTGCCAGCGAGGACAGGGGGACGCTGAATTCTTCAAAGAGAAATTAGATTCAAACAAACTTAAAAAGCAAAACCATGTACACTGTAAGCACTGTTACATATGCCCACTGTTAACTTATATTGAGAATCATGTTAACGACAATGAAGATGTTTACATATCTAAAAGATTGGACTTTATGTAATAGTATAATCCTAGGTCTTAAACAAGGATTGATTCTTTTTAGGAGGAAGGGGATAAGACTACATTGTTAATATGAGACTGGAAATGTCTGTCCCTTTCAGAACAGCATCTCACTTAATAGTCCGTCCAGCTGAAGTCCGCACACTGTTCACTTCCCTCCAGTATCCACCCCTGTGAGGCTCTAGTGTGAAATACAGCCCTGTAGGCTGCCGTTCATTATCTGGAGCACCAGTTGTGTACATACATGTTTAGAGCTGTAAACATTGGGACAGTCCTTAAATGCTCAAACAAACACACAGCACGAATTGGCAGGGGATGTATCACAGTGAGTCCTCAAGTTACTGATGGGACGAGAACTGTGTAGCTTACAGCAAACAGCTAGCTACCTGTTAGCATATCACTTCATTTCAAATGAACCTGGGTGCTTGCTAACTGTCAGTCCGAAGACATAAATGCTAGGTTGTGTCTGATACATTTCAAAAGCCTCTCCGACCGTAATGCCGACTTTAAACATGAAGTATAATTACTGTTTGTGCGCAAGGTACAGCGTTAGCTAACGTTAGCAGACTAGCCACAGGGCCGCTGTTGTTTCCTGATAAAACCGGCTTATTATTGGGAAAAACAATTCTTGTTCCAGGGATTAGTCGAGGCCTGTTGAGCTTCGGCAAATCCTTCACTGTAGCTAATCGACTAGCCGCATAAGACGCGAAAAATACACCGTTTTTCTGAGCTTCGCAAGCTAATACATACCCATGTCGTTCATTGTGGAATTCTTTAATAGCGACGGAGAGAGAAATCATTACAATGGAGTAGCTTTCATACTTTCAGTTAGCGTGCTAGCTAACCGCATACGGGGCCTGAGGCGCCAACTTCTTCCTGAAACACGTTGTTCATTCTGGGAAGCGTTGGCCCAGTCCGTGTCAGTTTGTAACGGCGATGTTCGTTTTGCGTTACGGGGCAGCCCGCATAAGACGACTCCTATTCACTTGACTGTCAAAATGAGAAGCACCGCCTCTCCGGACAATCAAATAACTACATTTTAAAACCAATGTTTAAACTTCATAACTTGTTTCTTCTTTTATCCCTCATGTTTATAGCCCCACTCTCTGCTCTGGTACTAAAGTTGTCTTTCACATTGGACATACTCTTTAAAATACTTCATACTTTGAACTTTAGCACACTCCTTTCATTTAAAACAACGGTCCAATTGTACATATTCATTGTCTTTTATGGTCTTTATAATATTGCTCGTGTTATTGTAAATTTTCCATTTACTTCTTGACTTTCATCTTAATTTATATTTTTCTTGTACTACGATTGTTATGAACCAATATACTAAGGCAAATTCCTTGTATGTGAAAACCTACCTGGCAAAAAATCGAATTCGGAAATGTTTTGAATAAATATTTGTAAAAAAAAAAAAAAAACAAAATCCCCAAAACTACATTTAAAAATAACTGTAATTAAAATAATTATAATTCTTTATCTAGAAAAAAAAAAACTTATCAGGATTACAGGAACTTAATCTCTACATTTTGGTTGTCTTATTTGTTATTATTATGTTCCCAAATCATATCCCAATATATATAAAGAGAGAAAGACCACTGCAGGATGTTTCATGAAGGATTCAAGTACAAATGCAGCTGTTCTCAGGAACAAAATAGTATTTCCATAGCCTGGTTGGAATTTATTGTTGTTTGTTGTGTGTTTTCTTATAGATCCTATTAACATATATTTTATGACTTCAGAGAACAAAATTAATGCACTTAATGACAAGCACAAAAGCTGCACTTAAAGAATTGTAGAGGATACAATCAGAACGGATCTCACAATACATGGTAAGGAATCAGTAAAAACGAGAACTTGTCCCATACAAGAGAGAGTGATTCTAAAACCTCTTGCACAGCATGAAGTCAATACTGCAATGCTCAATGCAATACTCATCTGACAAAAATGCCACATGGTAATCACTGGATTTAGACTGACTGGTTTTGCACGACACTGTGAGTTTTCAAGTGTCTCTTCAGGTGATTGAGGCATGTGTAAGTCTTTGCACACAGCTGACAAGCGTAGGGTCGAACCCCTGTATGGTTCATGGTATGTTTTTTCAATTCGCTGCCACGTGAAAAACCCTTCCCACATTCGGGGCAGACATACGGCCGCTCCCCGGTGTGAACGCGCATATGAAGTGTCACTTTGCTCGCCATGGTGAATCCTCTCCCACATACAGTGCACTTGTACGGCTTGTCCCCTGTGTGGGTGCGTCGGTGTATCTGCAGCTCGCCGGCTGAGACAAAAGCCTTGCCGCAGTCAGAGCACAGATATGGTTTCTCTCCAGTGTGGATCCTTATGTGTATGTTCAGGTTTCCCGACACAGAGAAACGTTTCCCACAATACGTGCACTGAAACGGCCTCTCGCCTGTGTGACTACGCATGTGAAGGCTCAGGTCGTGTTTGCTCTTGAAAGCTTTGCCACAGCATGCACAAATCTGCGTTCTCTGTTGCCTGTGACGCACCTCATGGGCTGTCAAGCAGGCTACAGAGCTGAAAAACTTCCCACACTGCTTGCACTGATTGGATAGCTCAGGAGGATGGATCTTCTGGTGGGATCTTAGCTCACTCATACTGGGGTACACTTCCCCACACTGTCTGCACGTGAAGATACGATTCTGGGTGTGAGTCAGCTCATGCTTACCCAGCAAATGCATTTTCTTAAAGCTTTTTCCGCACTGAGAACAGTCAAACTTCTGGACGCTGTGAACACACTTGTGTCTAAATCTGTCCTGTAGAGATTGAAAGCCATTTCCACATTTGATGCAAATATATGCTGCTTTTATGCACTGTGTCCGCCTGTGCGTTGACAGGTCAGAGGTCCTCCTGAAGGCCTTTCCACACTGAGTGCACTTGTAGGGGTTTTCTCCAGTGTGCAGCCTCTGATGCTCCAGGAGTTCATAGCGGTAAATGAAGCACTTTCCACACTGAGTGCATTTGTGTGCAACTCTCCGCCTCGGAGGGCAAATCCTAGAGCTGGACAATACAGGGCTCTCAGTAGATGTAGAGGGAGCTCGGCCCTCGTACTCCTCCACAACGTGAACGTCAGGAATGCTGTGACAGCATTTTCCTCCTGCTGTTTGTTCTGTGTTGCTGCTGTCCAGAATGTTAGTGTCTTCCTCAGGCAGCCATGTTGCATCCTGTATCATCACATCTCTGGCCTCCAGAGGAGAAATCCCCTCAGATTCTTCTTGGCTTTCAAATGTCTGTGTGTTAGAGTCCATGTCTGTGGCACTGGTTTCTCGCGGTGAAGGAGGGAGGGATAATGATGAGAAGAGCCGCTGCTCTGGGAGAGAGGGCACTGAGTGAAAAGAGAAATTAAAAATGTGTGAGATTTATTAGTTTACATTTCATCCATTTAGTGAGTGTGGTTGTAATATATCTGCATTGGGGCTACAGCTAATGATTATTGTCATTTCCAGTTAATCTGTCAATATTTTTTTTTTTCAATTCACTGATTTTAATTTTGTCTCTATAAATGTCAGAATAAAGTCAACAGTGAACACTGGCAATCATAAGATTAAGTCCCAAATATATCAATTTAAAATTATATAGAAAAGAGAAAAACTAAAAATCTTCACATTTGACATCCAAACGTTCGGTCTTTTTACTTCATAAATCACTCTACGATGAAGTTAATTGGCTGATGATTTGGCTGATGCGCTAATATGCAGGTAAAGAAACTGACCAGACTTACCACTGGTATCCATCTTGGCTGTTTTATCACAGTGGGCCCTGCTTCTGAGCAGCACTTTGAGGTCATCTGCTTTGGATACACACTGCATGTACTCTTCTAGCACAGACGGTGTATCACTGATCCACACTGCGGTCTTTATCAAACAAACAAAACTCATTTTTATATTTATTTCGATGGACTGGAACCAATCTCGGGAAATGCACAGTAAACTGTAGTTTTTAAGGCATGAGTTGTTGTCTTTACCTCTTTAAAGTCTGGTATAAGCAGCAACTGTTCCAGTCTGGTGAAGAACTCACCAACCACTGTCTCCAGAGCTGTATCAAAGTCAGGGCCATACTCCACAGGAAACACATTCTGTGAAGTGGAAAATGCAACTCAAAGCATGGCTGTAAAACCTCATGTTAATGCGTCACTTGACAATCAAACAAACTGCTAATGATGGGGCCAACACAGAGACACACCTTGAGGAAGTGCTCTCTCCCTTTTGGGTCCTCCAGGAGCCTTTGAACAAGCCTTGCAAAGTTGGTTTCAAGAGCTTCATTTCCTGAATGAACCTGTCAAGTAAAATATACACAACTTAAATAATCAGAATGCTTCCTAAACAGACAACATTTAATGCCCATGATTGAAAAGGTTACACACCTGTTTTGTGCTCGATGGCAGAAGACTGTTCAAGTGTGTTTGAACACCTTTGAGATCCTCTGCCTCTTCAGAACTTAACATCTGTAATGTCATCTGGAAAAGCCATTAAGCAAGAGAGTCACATACTCATTCATATTACTTTCTGCCTACATATTGACATACTGAAATGCAGGGATGGAAAAATTACAGGAATGACTTTACAATATATTTAAACATCAGTGCTTTCTCTCCATCTGAAGCACTATCTATAGATGTGACACTAGATACTCCATCATCATTGCTTTAAGTTTGAATGTGCAGGAAAAGTTGATGATTTCAGGTTTTAGTTACTTTGAGTTATAGTACATGAGAAAGGAAAAAAAGGCAATTTATTGATTTTCAAGTATATTATGGATATCTTCATGACAAAGCAAATACGTTTTGTTGGGAAGAAGCAGTATAGACGTCACTACGTTATATATATATACACGTTATATATATATATATATATATATAACGTGTATATATATATATGATTATAATAGTGTAGACTAGACAGGAAAATAATCTGATGTTTTCTCACACATACTGTAAAATGTAGGTGCAAAACAACACACAATAAAGTTGAAGCTAATGTAAGTTATATTAACTAAATAATCCTAGTAAAAGTATTATAAAGACAGCAATTCCACAATCAGATATCAGAAATAAAAAATAGGTTTGAAATGCCACAAATATTTCTTTTTAAAGCTAATGAAACAACAGCATGTTGATTTAGCGTGGCTCTGGATCTGTTACCTTTGCTCTTAAGGCCAGAGTGAGCAGTCTCATCTGTCTGTCTGTCAAGATGCCAGGGATGGCTTCAGTTACCAAAGACACAAACTCCTCCACTTTCCCATAATGCTTGATGTTCCTCAGACGAACCACCTTCCACATCACAGCCGACATCATCCTCAGAGGTGGAACCAGGAGCGTCAGCGAGGACGAAGGCAGGGAACCCTCTGCGAGGAGGAGGAGGTGACTGACTGTAGCATTATTATTCTTACTAATACTGCACATCAGAAACACAAAGCATCTCCACATTGTAGCCAGAAAGTTGTACTGAGAGAACAAGTGATGAAGATACGGGGTCCTTTCAGCAGACAGCTCATACAATCACCAACAAAGTGGCCTGATAATGTTACTGGCACACATATGTACCCTGTATGACCTGGCAGACGTCACATAAACCATATCAGGTGTGGAAGCATGAGTTTTTATTGTTAATGGATAATGAGTACAGTATGTTCTCTTATCCTGTTCATGTATTTTAATGTCTTGGCTTGGTCTGTTTTGAACAAGAGATTTAAACCTCAGTGGGACTTTTACTTGGTTCATAAAATATAAAGTAGAAAATAAGTAAGTAACTGACTCCCTTTAGGTGCCCAAGAGTATTGGTTAGGTTAATAAATGTTGTTTGTCCACTATTAACATTTAAAGAGGCACTGGCCCGATTGTTTTAACGTTAGCCGATTTATGTATTATTATTAGTTTTAATATGCAGAGCAAGATATAATCTCTAAGTAAAATATAAACTGCAGTGGCTTCTCCTCTTGCGTTATATCTAGGTTACATAAAACTCCTCCGGGAATGATTATGGTTGTTATCAGTTTAATAAGTAAAAGCAGAGTTGTTGCTGTTAGCAGGCAAGCTAACAACATCATAACAAAGTGACACGACCCCAACAAAACACAAAACGTTACCCATTTTATTCCCCCGAAGAGCAATGACAGTGGAAGTGACACAGAGGAACGTTTCCTAATATAAAAACAGCTCTTCCTCCTGCAGTGACAAGCTAACTGTGAAAATGAGTTTCTAACCAATCCAACACTTCACTGCTGGTCTCTCGCAGCTGAACACCACTTCCTGCTTCTGCTTCTTCTTCTTCTTCTTCTTCGTGTTGTGTATTTCTGTTGACATGCAGCCGCCGCCTTCTTCTTCTTCTTCTTCTTCTTCTATTACCGCCACCCGGTGGACTGGAGTGTGGAGCTGTCAACAAACTAAGTTCTCTCTATTATTCCTGTTATTTTTAAATGATTAATGAAACGATTATGTCCTTTCCATGATTTCCAAGTAGATCCTCTAATGCAATATTATGTCCCTCATCAAATACTGATATTAATTCCCTCCTTTCTTGATTATATTTGCTGCAGACTATTAATACATGTTTGACAGTTTCCAGTTTATTACAATGAGTGCATAGTCCACTAGGGTGCTTGCCTATGATATGGAGTGTGTGATTTAATCCTGTGTGTCCGATCCTCGGATGGGTGACGACTGTCTCTTCGTTTGAGCTCCTGCTCTGTAATCCACCTATGCCTACATCTTTTTTGTAAATTGTAAAGATGTCGTCCTGTGTCACATAAGTCTCAGTATTCCTGCCAAGGTTTGCGTAGATGATCCTTTATGATCGTTTTAACTTCTGCTTTACTTAGTTCTACTTGTATGTCAATTTGCTTTCATCTGATTATAGTTTTGCCAACATATCCACGTTCTCATTTCATTCCACTCCTTTTGGGACCCAAAAGAAGGAGACATCCAATCCCCTATGATGTAGCCCATATAGTGTGTGATGAATTCCATAAAGTATATCCTGCCTGCATGAGGACTTTCCTGATTTGATGCTTGAAAGTGCTGATAAGCTATCAGAAGCAATACCTATATTGATTGTTTTCTTCCACCCGTTTTAATGCTAACAGTATTCCTATTACTTCGGCTGTGTATACTGACGGATGTTTTTCACAGCTATGTCACAATGCGGGAAGAAGAACGCAGCTGCTGCAACTTTACAGCAACCCACCTGCTACAAACAGTACTAATATTTCAAAATGTACAATTTCCATATTATTTCAGAATTTTCATCACCTTTTTCAGCAAATCTGACTAAAAGTAATTACTTTTGACTTAAAAGTGATGGTATCAAACAGCATGAGATAAAAATATCCCAGCATTACATGAAGGCAAAAACTAGGCTTGTTGTGATGCATCTGTAATGTGCACATGTGCAATATAAAACCAAACGTCTCTGGCAACCACTAAACTACATTTGTACTTTAAACATAGAAAATCTTGCCTTCATTTTACCAGTTATCTGTGAGAATGATAAAAAACCTGTGATCAAACTGAAACTACAGAGAATAGAGCAGGGAAAATCCGACAAACATGGTAAATGTTTGTATGATACATCATCCTCAGCATTGTTCAGTTTGTCTGCGTCTTTACTTTAGTTATTTTCTATTAACTATGCAGAGGATCAATATTTCTGCACTAAAAGTAAACTTTACTCTTAATATCAACCACATGATCTCCAGTATGTTATGCTGTTGGCCTCTCTGCTGTTCCTTAAATCCTTAAAGTCAGGGTATCACATGGAACTATTGTAAGTGCTAAAAAAATAAATCTAGTCATCCTCCACTGATCTGTAGATGCATGAATCCCCTGGTGGTGGCAGTCAAGGCTTTCCTACAGGCAATGTCCAGTAAGATAAGCAGGAACCATGGGAAAAGTAATTAGATAGTGCCTCATCAGACCATCTGGGCAGCGTTAGCCACCATGACACCAAGTAAATCCCTGCAGTGTGTGGTGACTGACAGAAGGGCCCTCTTGTACCTAAAAAGACTATTTCTTTTTTTTGGGGGGGATTCTCAGCACTTTTATTCAGGCCAACCTCAATTTTTACTTTGTCACCACCAAATAAACTACTGTCCTAATTATTGGTTTGCCAGTTTGAATTTATTGCACTTCCATTATGAGACACTTATCACAGGGCTGTACCAGTCCTCTGAACTTCTATTTACCTTCTTTACAGTTTTTTAAAGCCCTTAAGGTTCTTAAGACAAGCTCTGTTTTCGGCCCAGAAGAGATGCAATTACATATATACATATTAATAAAACTTTAGTGTAATATCAAAATCATTTTTACTGGGTTGGCCTTGTGACCTCAGTATTTCTGAAATCCAGACTGCAGTCTAGTAGGTGCTAAAAGAAACATTGTGAAAAGCAGTAGTTTACCGTAGGCTACAGCTTTATAACATTATATATGATTACAGCAGAGTCTATGGAAGCCCATTTTCAACAGGAAAAGTAAAAAGAAAAGAAAAGTAATTATGCATGATTAAGATAAAAATTCAACTCAAGTTAAGTCACATTTATGATACTAACTAAAACTAACAAAGCAAAAATTTGTATAAAATATTTTTATATGGCTCTTCTTACAATTCCATAGTGCAGCATTTGTTTTAATTAGTTTTTCTTATAACTAAGAAAACAAACTAAAAGATTTATTTACAAAAAGCTCTTATCAGTTCCACTTAGTGCAGCATTGTGATAACCCTCCAAATAAGTAATATAATCACAACAAAACAAAGAAACCCATGAAGGCATTAATAGATCAGGAACTGTGTGCTGCAAGGTGAAATAGTTGGGCTGTTTTCAATGAAATCTCGTGGCTTTGAACAAAACATCTATCTCTGTAGAGACCTTGGCAAAAACTAGCACGTTTAGTTGCTTTCTGCTGGCTGAGGTGCTGGAACAAAACTGGAACAAAACATTTTGTACCAATTAAAACAAAGTTCTGGCTCAGCTAAATATAGTCGATACACATCAGTTAAAGCAAGCCTTGATAGGCCATGAAACAATCCTTGAGATCAGATCGGGAGATCCTGAAAATGCTGCTGCACCAAACTGCGGAGAGACAAATTTAACAACCAGCTGGTGAACATACTGCAGCATTTAATAGCTGAGGAGCCAGTTATCTTCCTCAGGATGTAGAGGGGACCAAAAACAGAGCCTAAAGGAGAGTGAAAATTGAACTGAACATCTGTCAGGTGGCTGAAGACTGGACTTCAAATGAATGCTAATGTTTGCCTTTTTCCTTTAAAATGTGATAAAAGGTTTAATTTAAAATGATGACAAAATAAGTCAAAAGTTTGACTTCTGACAAACTTAAGAGCTTCCATAAAAACCACCATAAATGCCAGAAAGAACATAATGGATCCTGCTTCCCCTTAAAAAACAGTTTAGTGTTTACTGCTAATAATAATAATAATAATAATAATAATAATAATAATAATAATAATAATAATACATTGATTTGTAAAAAGCTTTCAGGTCAAAATGCTGTATAGAGCATAGAAAATACAATTTAAAAACATTCCAAATAACTAAAACAAAATTAAACACACACTCGCCTCTCAGGAAAACATACAGAGAAATTAGGACTTATACACAACAGTAAACAGATGGGTCTTTAGCTTTGCTTTAAAAGCCTCAACAGAACAAGCCTGCCTGATGTCCAGAGGTAAACTGTTACACAATGTCGGTGCACGGAAAGAAAAAGCCCGTTCACCAATTGTCTTCTTTTTGACCTTTGGGACACTCAGAAGACCCGTCCCCTGAGAACGCAGGGCTCGAGCAGGCACATAGGGGTTCACTAGGTCTTTAAGATACAACGGTGTGCTGCCATTTAATATTTTATAGGTTAGCAGCAACACCTTAAAGTCTGCTCTGGCATGAACAGGGAGCCAATGGAGAGAGGATAACACTGGTGTAATATGTTCATATCTGGAGTCTCCGGTCAGAACACGAGCTGCAGCATTCTGAACCATCTGCAGACTCCGAAGACTTTTCTTTGGCAGACCCGACAGAAGGACATTACAATAATCTAGCCTATATGATACAAAGGCATGAATGAGGACCTCAGAGTCCTTAAATGACAGTATTGATCTGATCTTGGAGATGTTTCTAAGATGGAAATAAGCAACTCTGGTCACCTCCTTTATATGTAAATCAAACGAAAGTGTCAAAAAGCACACCAAGATTCTTAACTTGGTCTCTGTGATTGATTGCACAATCATCGAGAGACAAGGTAATGTGATCAAAAAGATGACCTAGTTTTGCTGGTCCGATAACCATCATTTCTGTCTTAGCAGAATTAAGCAACAAGAAATTTGTTGATGCTCTTAACAGCTGCAAGACAGGCCTCAAGTTTAGCTATATTAGACTCGCTTCCTACACCTAATGGCATATACAGCTGCATATCGTCAGCATAACAATGAAAAGCAATCCCAAAAGAACGGAAAATCTGACCCAATGGGGATAGGTAAAGTGAAAAAAGCAATGGACCCAGTACAGACCCCTGGGGAACCCCATGCTTGACGGCACAGGACTCAGAGAGTATGCTGTCATATAAAACACATTGAAATCTTTCTGACAGGTATGATCTTAACCACTCTAGAACTTGTCCTGAGATGCCAAAGAAATTCTCAAGTCTATCCAATAGTATACAGTGGTCCACCGTATTGAAAGCAGCGCTAAGATCCAACAGCAATAAAACACTTGTTGACCCTGAATCTATAGACAGTAGCAAGTCATTCACCACTTTTGTAAGTGCTGTTTCTGTGGAATGATTTACCCAAAAAGCAGACTGAAATGGCTCAAATAGCTTATTTAGTGACAGATAATTTAAAAGCTGATTTGAGACCACTTTCTCAAACATTTTTGACAGGAAAAAGCAAGGTTTGAAACAGGTCTATAGTTGGTCAGGCAGTCTGCATCCAAGCTAGGCTTCTTTAGTAGGAGTTTAACCACAGCAGTTTTGAAACAAGCTGGAAAGACTCCAGTGAGGAGGGATGAGTTTAAGATTGATAAAACATAAGGTCCTATAGCCATAGCTCTTTGACAACCCAAGAAGGCAGAGGATCCAGTGAGCAGGTTGTACATCGTGCCACCATTACAACCTTACTCAAAGAAGCCAAGGAAATTAGTTCAAATTTAGAAAAGCCTTGTCCTGTGCAGATAGACAAAGCAACAGCACACTCTGCTTAGTCACTGTAAGACTGGGGTATTTTGGCTCTAATGTCCTCAACCCTTTCATTAAAAAACAATAAAA